ATTTCTCTTCACTTAATGGAGGAACTTATACAACGTTCCACTCATATTTTAAAAATATGACTACCAATTAAAAAAAAACACAACTCCACAGAACAGCTAAACTACTTAAATCGTATATGCATTTAATGATTCTTTAACTATTTTTTAATGATAAATGATGATAATCATATTGATGGAAAATACAGTTCAAAATTAAATTCAACTGTTTCCTTCATTGTAAAAATGTTCTTACAATAAAAAGGAAGAACATTAATACTACCATAAATTCATAAAAATGATTATTATTTTTTTTTGTTCATCATTAATGATTGATGATAAGAATCATTTGCCTAGTACACTTGAAATCTGTCCTTTCCTATGAAAGTCAATTGGATGATTTTAATGGGAAAAAGTCACATTCATATACACATTTCTCTTATATATATATATATATATATATATATATATATATATATATATATATATCAATTGATTTCTATTTTAATGACAATTCATTGGATGTTTTTCATAGAAATTTTCTTCTAAATTTGTTATTTTTCCTCTCTAAACTTATCTAAACTAGATAGATAGACACACTATTGAAGTAGTCATGAATAACAGAGTCTCTGTTGTTTGCTTTTTTTTAGATTTACAAATGATTTCTTTGTACAGAACAGTGATTGGTTGATAATTTACATCGTATATGAAAGTGGTAGTAGGTTAGTAGAATACTTGAGTAATTTTCTAATAAACACCCTAAAATGGCATACATTCTGCTATAATATTGAATTTTGCATTTACTGTTCAGATGTACATAGTTAGACAATGACAATTAACAAATATAAAAACGATCGGTCGACTATTTTTGTATATACACACGCACTCATCAATTCTTTCTCATCCTATTGTAATTATACATAGGCAATAGAGTATAGACAGTTATAGAAGAAAAAACACTTATCTACAATAATATAACCGAACACATTTAGTTTCACTTTGCCCGGCCTATTGAAAATGAACGAAAGCTGAAGAACTTAAAAATAACCGTCTAGTAACAGTGAATTACTATGATAGTTAATACCCATTCAGTGTTTTATGATAAAAATGCTGGTAAATTCCCTTACAGAGATAAATATCAGCATACATATGTAATAATCTTCTATATGCTTAACGAAGAGTACAAGTTTCATTTATGTAAAACTATATACTTTCCATTTATTCTTTACTAAGTGTCAAGTTGAAAGTAGAAAAAATCCTTTAATACAGTTGAAACTAATTTCTAGCTTTGTACTGCACAATATTTAAAATGGATAACATATTCTAATTCTTACTAATTGACTTATGGTAATCAGTAGCACTTTTTTACTTGAAAGTTTTCAGTGCTAAAAGAATTTAAAAATAATTATCGTATACTTATTTAATAGTGTCTCGCAGTGGATTCAAGAAAGCGCGTTTCTTTCCGCATGGAAATCTTCGACTGAATGTAATAAGTGAATTCAAGCGATAAATGGTTGGTAAAAAACAACGAACAATAGGTTAGAGATCATTACGATATACTTTAAATATATACCAACAGTTGATATTTGTAAATTTTTCACTTTTATTCATATCAACTTCTTTCATCATTATCATCATCATCATCAACAGCAAAGTAGAACTTTGCACGTAAGTACAGCAGTTCAAGTTGCCATACTACGTTAGCACAGAGATATAATTGTCAATTCAAATCCCATAGTAGTAGAGGTAGTAAAAGTATTAGAAGCAATCGGAGAGATTAGGTTTCGCAGATGTTATTCAAAAGGTATAATTCAATGAGGTAAATTTAGGAAGAGAAAGATAGAAGTTATGATTAATTTAGAAAGTTAGGATTTCATAAAACACAGAGAGTAAATGCACCTGCGCCATCGCATACGGTTTTGAGCCATGTCGTTCAAGGTCTCTAACAATAGATTATTATCATCTCGCGGACCCCAACCAGGTAGCCTACATCTACCAATATGACTCAGTCCACCTGTCAGTGTCTTCGTGGAGTTGTGCCATGTTTTGGTTTGGCCGCCACTAGCTTTCATCCAACCTATGCCTACATCGCAAAACGTAGCTCGACGAGGCAGTCGATGGTTAGGCATACGTAACACATGTCCCAACCACCTCAACTGATGAAGTTTCATTACTTCATCTATTGACCTGTCATCCTTACCTAGCACCTGTTTTCTAACAGCAGCATTGCTTACTCGGTTGTCCCACGATACTCGAGCAATGCTTCAGAGACACCTATGATCGAAAACAAGTTACCTACGAATATCTTTTACTCTCACTGTCAATATTTCACAGCCATAAAGTAGGACGGAGCGAACTACCACGCAGTACACTCGTCCTTTAATCAGCAAACGGATATCTCGCCTTCACCATAAATGATGCAAGTTGGCATAAGCCAATCGAGCCTTCTGTAAATCAATAACTACCTTACTCTGAACCTGATTAACTCCACAATAAATAAATTTAAACGAGATATTTGGGACATCTATCTAAATGTCAGTCACTGATAAACACCAGTTATATCACTGACTACAACCAGGAACACTGAGCTCTGATTCAATGAGTAAGTAGTATCATGTATGTAGTAAGACAAAGACCATGACTTCCATTTTCCACAATTCTCTAGCTTGTGTCAAATCTTCATTTAAAAACCTCTGAATTGCACAGATCTAAACAAGTAACCTAACTAGATATTCTGTGATACTTCATAGTTCATACCTTTGATTGTACAGAGTTTAATGTAGAGAAAAATAAAAAGAATAGTTAGTTTCATCAGCAAATCTTACTCCAAAAATTATCTGGTACGACAATTTTGAGCTAGAAATTAGATAATTATCTTATATGTCTCCTGAAATTATTCTACCATGTATTATGAATGATGGATTTATACATAAATTTCAACAATAATGAATAATTCCATTCAAAACTAAAAATGAGGTCCTCCTTGAAAGGGAAACAGAACTAAAGCCAAATGTATACATACTTTTTGCCTGATGCTTAATAAGTGAGTGATCAATTAATTTCACGTCATTTGGAATCATTACCTCCTACTTTTCATTTTCATCATCTCATTATTTACTAAATAAAATGATAAGTTTCGTTGATTAATCAACTTCATTCTTCTTACTCCAAATATTCTTTTCCCAATATTGTCTTCTCAAAATTACCCTTCACTATTGTTGAAAAATTAAATGACATTTTATCTAAGCTTTTAACATACAAACCAATTAATACATACTCGCATACATACATGTATTCATTTCTGGAGCAAAGTGACAAAAAGCAAAAAAAAAGAGGGGGAGAAAAACTTCAAGAGACAACTGAAAATTAATAGGTAAAAAAAGTTGAGATAAATGTAACGAAAATGGAATGTGTAAAATAAAAAATGCCTTTTCAACGTATTTCTTTTTAATAGAGAGAGATGGAATCGTAAGAGTCTAAGAGTAGGATACGTTTTTTTCAAAAATTAAGAGTAAAAAGAGTAAATACCATCCTCATTACAGTTAAACTATGATTAAATAATTAAGTTTAGTTTTATATGCAGAACAATGATTCTTATCCAATGCTATATAGTAAGTATGTGAATTGAATTGTCGTTACTTTTTTCTCATTTAAATTAAACTTTTATCACTATTCGTTAAATATAGCTGCGGATTAAAAACTTAGAGTATTCAATCTTTGAGATGTCAAGATGTCAAGATTTTCAACTTCACATTATTAGAGAAGTGTCATTCTTTTCAGTCAGTGAATATCAACCTAGAGCATGGTAAAAATGTCTCCGTCAGCACGACGAAATAAAACTAACAAGTACAACAGTGTAAGAATGAAATAATGATAGTGTTAATTCAAGTAATACGGTGATTCAATGAAAAATAATCTAACTCTCATTCTAATCAATTTAGATAATCGATATTATGTGGATGAAAAAAATTAAAATAATGACAATAGTAGAAGACTAGTAGTTTTTTCCTATAGAATTTATAGCTGTTGAGGAGACAGGAAATCACACAGACATATATATATATATTTAGTGATGACTTAACAAAACAGAACTAACTTAAATTACTACCACAACCAAACCTGTAACCAGTCATTTAAAATGTTGTCAGGTTCCCACTTTACAGCAAACATAAGTAAAGATACACTTGATCTCCCTGTAGTAATTTAAAGTCAGTCAAAAGACTAATGAAAACCAGAAAGTAGTAAGTATATTTTCTCTATTAGCTTACAATATGTCAGTCAATTTACAGGGTTATAGAATTTATTCTCTAGTATCCATGACGATATAACTGTTAGACAATACATAAATCATGGGGTCCTTACTACGATTTTAGACATTTTCGTTTACACACAAAATTTATGAGTGTCATGCCTGGTACTGATGCTGATTAAACATATTAATATTTAGGTCAAATTCCTTATTTTCTAAATTAAACATGAACTTAAAATCAGTCTTCAATGTTATCACCAGTTGAAATTAAACTTATTGACTTTGCTATCAGCAAATTCGCGGTAAGTTCTGAGAGTTCATGCGTAGACAGTCTGTCAGTCAGTCATGTGCAACAGATAAGGTTTCGTTTTTACTCAGATTGTCCATGGATCGAAATAATCTTTAACTCAATTTCTCAATCAAACAATTTGATTGTTATGAACTGCTTGAATTGTCAAATTTTTATCTTCACGTTTTTGTTAGTATTCCATACCTGTTGCTCATATCAGCTCTATTTGCAATGTTTGAAAGTATTTCTGTTTACTATTGTGAAAAATATTATACTTGAAACAATCACCAATCATTTTGTTCAATAGAATGTGTGTGAAGATTATATCTTTTAGAAACCTAGTCTTAAATGAAATATTATAAACAATAATGATGTTTACCAAAAAGTATAAATACATTTCTGTACAGAAACTGATATTTTTAACTGATTGTCAATAATTTAGAGAAAAAGTATCGCATTAATACAATATCAGTAATAATAACTTACATTTTGAGTATAATGCCAATAGAAGTGATACACCTGCTGCCACCATTAAAACAATCAAAGTTACATCTTGTAAAGCTTCCCACATAAGTTGGAAAAAACTTTTTGGAGGTGTTGGTGGAATTACATTGGTCCCGAAGACTTCACGACGTTTAGCCAAATCATGACTTGATAAACCTTGAAATGTGAACAAGAAATAATGACTAAACTGTAATTTAAGAAAATTGAAGCATGTAATGCACCGTATCATGTTAAAACTTCTCTAAGATTAGTTTCTAGAAAGATTTGTAATAGCTTTATCACTTATCGATTTTTAATCAGTGATCTGAAGAATTTAATTCAGGAGTAAAAATAACGAAACTTGGTGTTATTACTTTACGATACATTGGTAGTAAAATATTAAACTCATCATAATGTTACTGACAAATAATTTCCAACTGCTAAACAAAATCACCATAAAACTACAAACTAAATAACTGCACTACTCATGAAAATAGTATTTATTTAAAAACTAACTCTACAGTAAAATTAAACCTACATTATAGAACATAATATTTCACTAGTTCACTATAAAATGACTTCATCATTTTTATTTAGTGTTTCCCTGCTAATATCATACAGTTTACAGCTGGAAAATTACTTGAAAATCACGTCTTATTTTTACGAACTTTCTAAACTAGCTTAATAATAGCGAACTTTTGACCGAGTGAAAAAGGTTTTCATTGTATCAACAGCCAATGTAAATTCATTATTAAAGTTTTAATAGGTAATACACAAAGACTTCTGTATAAGTGTCAGCATTGTAAGTTCTGAAAACTGTTCAAAATTAGATTGTCGAAAACTCATGTGTAGCGAATGCTTGAAAAAGAAAAATTTATCATTTAACAATATATTTGATAAATGAGAATTCCGATAAAGGATTAAAACAACCACAAATGCTTAAAAATAAATTTACTATCAATAAGTTGTACTGTATAGATCTAAAGTACAAACTATTCATATCTATTGTCTACAGATTCACTCATTTCATTCGATTGTTTAAAAGCAATGAAATCCTTAGAGTTATTCTCAAACATGGTACTAAAAGTACAAGGGTAATGACGATGAAGTGGCTGTTTACCGAAATTCAAAAATAATAGTCTTCTGGATTAAGATGGAAGATTAAGTAATTGAAATAGACGATACTGTGAATGATATACGAACAGTAGTAGTAGTAGTAGTAGTAGTAGTAGTAGTAGTAGTAGTAGTAGTAGTAGTAGTAGTAGTAGTAGTAGTAGTAGTAGTAGTAGTAGTAGTACCTGGTTGGGGTCCGCGAGATGATAATAATCGATGGTTAGAGACCCTGAATGACATGGCTCAAAATCGTTTTCAATGGCGCCGGTGCATTTATTCTTTGTGTTCTCTCAAACCCTAATCTTCTGGATTCTTCAACACCTCTAGTTTCGACTCTCTAAACTTTTCTCACTGTATCATACTTCTTGAATAGTATCTTCTAACCCTAACCTCTCCGATTACTTCTAATTCCCTTACTACCTCTACTACTATTGGATTTGAATTGACAATTATATCTCTGTGCTGATGTGGTATGGCAACATGAACTGATGTACTTATGTACCAAGTTCTACGTTGCATATGACTGACTGACTGAGTAGTATAAACTATGCTTGGAAAAGTCAAGATTTACTTTTGCTATACATTCTATTACTCACTATTTAAAGAAGGTTATGGATTTGAAAAAGGAGATAGAATATAGACTGGTTCTAATCAATCACCCATTTTGATACCAGATAATCAAAAATTTAAAAAGTTGCTCATTTAGAAACTAAAAGTTGTTCATATTTTTCGTGGTTTTAATTAATAATGCTCACATCACAGTTGTTGTTTATGATATTTTTGCTAGCTGATGTTGTGGCTATTCTACTAATACTTTTTGGCCTACTTGTACATAACAAGGTTTTTGGATAAATACTAATTTTAAACTTCACTCTGTTGAAAATTAAAATGATATTTCCCCATCGTTCAGGATCATTTGTGAAATGTGCATCAACAGTTTGGCATTGAAACGAACACAGGTTGTGTTGAAAACATGTCATAATTAAATCAGTGGTGTAGTAGCACTACCACACAGTTTCATCGATAAGTAAATGCCTTAACCCTGATTCCATTGTTATGAAATACTGGATTCAAGTTTGCTATTTTACTACGCAAAAAGTTAACGGATTTAAGACTCTTTCATAACGGAGAGCTAACAGTTTACCATTTTAAGAAAACTGGAAATAAAAATTTAAACACATTTATTCACAAACACTTGAAAAATAGTATGACCTAATCATACAATACTGCATACACCTAGTTTCATCGAAAGAGAAAAGTAAATTGTGATATCGGATATCGTGATAAACATATTCTATTATTATTTGATGGCAATGAAGTCCAATCAACATCATTTTCCTTAGGCAAATTTTAATTTAAAGCATTGTTGCTATCAATCTAGAAAATTTTACTCATGAATATTGATGGTCGATTACAAGTTGATCCTATTTAAGCTGTAACATCAAATTATTAGTCACATTCCACCGGAAGAAAATAATTGCTCGTTTTAAGTCTAATTACAACATAAGGTTCAGACTGCAAATATAAAATTAAAATACATTATACCATTCGAACTCAGAGTTTTTTTGAAAGAAGCTTCAGTTTAATAATCTCTAACGCAATATATAGGATATAATGACCAACAGAAAGTTTTACTCACCTAGCTCAGCTGATTTAGTTATAATGATACTAGCTTTTCACAAGCATCATTCTTTACTCAACTTACAACATCAATTCTCCAACAGGACAAAGGTAAATTTATTTGTTGTAGTACTGAAGGTAGTTTAAATTTATTCCCTGAACTTCTTGTTTGATCGCAATCAATAACAAGTATTTCAACACCGTAACTTTCAGGAGTAATACGTCATTTGAGTAAATAAAAAATAAGACTCCTTTTACCACAGAAATTTTGTTACCTGCTACTGCCAGTGACCAATGGTTTAAAAACCATGCTCTCAAGTAGTTTTTAATTCCTTTGGGACCAAAATGTATATAAATTACGTTTTTAAACCTCTTTCCTACTTGTATGCCCGTTTCTAATAACAAACTGCTATATTTTTAACTAAAGATTTCAAAATAAAACCGAAGCTATTATTCATCAAAAGTGAAGTTGTGCTTAGATCTTCAGACGTTATCATAAAGTAAACACCGTTTCATCGGCTACCATTGAAATGTAAGCTCAAACCTTCTACTGCATTTTCGGCCAGTGACACAAAGCAGTTACAAAAATGTTACTATTGATAAATTACTCATTATTTTAGTTCAACTATAAATTCAGATTGCATTTCCACTCAGCTGTGACAGACAACTAAGGCGTTTGCAGATATTTTCCAACTTCTAGACAATTTATGATTGTAATTCTTTGTATTTCAAACTTTCATATTCATATTCTAGTATTTAAACACAGTTTACTCCTACTAGATGTATCTTTTACTAGTCTTATTCGTGGATATTATACCCTGTTTCGTGTTTTTAAGCACCGATAGCAATCAAACGTAAGCCAGTAAAGTGTTTTTTTATTTTTTCGGTGGTTTAAAAGAAATCATCACCAACCATACTGCATTCTGCATATTATTAGAAACAACCATTAAAAGCGTTAGAATTTCAAAAGATCTACCTGACACAAGTCCAAACAAATTAGCCCTTTCAGAGGCATTTATCAACTATATATGTATATTAGCTTTTGTCATGGTAGAAATGAGTGGTAATGGAACTTGAACAAATAAGTCATACCAACTACAAGACTGAGGATTTCTCATATGAATTTTGTCGGTTGAAGATTATTAAACTTCAGAAAAACATCTTAAATAGTTCTTTTCTTATTACAGTCTCGCCCTATCATATTTAACCTTATCACTTCTACTATTCAATCTACAATCGCCAGGTTGTTTCGTTGATGATGAGAATACTTTTTTACTTGATATTTCTTGAATACGTCTTGGGTGAACTAAAGGAGAATACTTTCTTATCAACTGATTTGTTGACAAAAAGCAGCTACTGCATTAAAGATTTTCGACACCACACAAGTATTCACTGTATCAATATACCAAGATAATGACATTTCGGATCATCGAATTTTGAGGTTAATTGCTCAAAAATGGTAACTTAATATTTCTACAAAATGATGTATAAACAAAAGTGGTCTACTTAAAAAACAATACTAGTTCATTATATATGTCATGCATGCTATCCACTCATTATGCCAAACTCCCACTATTTTGTGTTCTTACTAGAAATAATCTACCCGCTATTTGCTCCATACAAATATCTTTGCTTTGCAATAACCCTGGATGGTTTGGTTTTCATCTCCCATGGAGATACAAAGGTCCACTTTTAAGGAGATATACACTGAGATTTAACAAATGATTAACCGAGACCGATTTCCAATGGTTCCATAGATGAAAATACTCAGTATGTAACGTCATCTGTAAATTGATGATGGTGAATGACAAAATGACTGGCTCAAAGGAAAAGTGAATGACATACAAGTAAAGGTTATAAATAAAGTTCAAAATTTTATCTATGAAATCGATTCGTCCCCTATCCAGCTCTATATCATAGTCAGCTCTCCGAAGACATCGAATGATCTACACATGTTCAAAGAATCAATCCGAAACAAGCACTCTGAAATAATTATTTTTAAAATTTAGGCAATACAATAATACGTAAATTGATTACGTTAAACTGTTATGGTAGAATAAAAAATATCTAGTTATCTAACTGACTAAATCAAGGCAATAGAATAAACATAAAAAGATACAGTAATTTATATACAAGTAAAGTTGTAGCTTACCTTCAGTTGGAGACGTTTTAAGACGCTGACACAGCCCAGAAGCTCCACCAAATCTTTTGTTGATAACCTCAACAGCCTCGGCTCCACGCAACTGCATAAGTCCCTGAAGTTCACGTGTAGAACAACCAAAAACGGTTGATAAACCAACACTATCTTCGGCAGAATGACGGTCACGCATTTTCATTATTATTTAGGATTTAATAGTCAACAAACAAATTATATTTCAATCAGAATAGTATCCTTAGGTCAAAAATTAGTCCAAAAGAACTGCAGGCCAACCAGACAAGCATAGTTTGAATTAGGAAGATCTCATTGATCAGTTTTATCAAATAACAAGAAGGTTACAAATTAAGGTATAGTTGATTTGTACCAAAATGATTAAATCTCCCGCAAACTCCACATTCGAAACAGAGATTTTGAAAGTTGATGTTTGTTGAAAAACTTAAACAAAAAGATTTAGACAAGTTTTTTAATTTTTATATTATTCAGAACGTAAAACCTAAAGTCCGAGTTGATGCTACAACTAGTTGAGATGAAGTTTTTTTGTTACTGACTGCCCAATCAAATTCGATTTTTAAAACTAGTTATTTAGGCAATTGTTTTTAAAATAAAGGTCTTTCATGTTTTATATCCATCCTACTGCTCTCTTCTTGAGATCTTTTCCTCGAAAATTAATAACAGATGAGTATTACCTAATGAAGAATCAAAAATTTAACTTAATTGTGTTTATGTTTCAATGGTAATGTGGAATTAAACAATTATTTTAGAACACAGAACTAAGCCTCTGAACTAATCTTCAGCTAATGAAGCACATTCAGCCTAGAGGTTTCTTTCCAGTAGAATTAGTTGCTTGACTCAGCAGACCTTCAAAACACTTTTCAGCATATACTTAAGATCTCATATAGAAAGACTACACTATATCCCCCGGCGGTAGCGAGAATATTGCCTTTTTGTAAGGCATTCAAACGGCAAAAACTTATTAGCTACTAGGAACAAGAAATAAGTGCTACTCAAATAACTTAGAAGGTTTTAAGTTAAATTCAGTGAAGATCGGTGTCAGGCAAGATTGCTTACTCTCACCCTTTCTCTTTCTCCTGGTGATCGAATGGATTATGAAGACGTCAACAACTGGAGGGAAGCACGGTATCCAATGCACAGCTAGGATGCAGCTGGACGATTTAAACTTCGCCAATCACCTGGCGATTTATGGATATTGTTAAATACTAATGAGATCACGAACGAAGTCAAAAAATTCACTGAAAATTAGGAAGCACTAGACAGTTGTTTCTTTCTGGTAGAAATCTACTCAGAGGTGTCCATCCTTAGATCCATCATAGGTATCGGACCTGTGGTCAAAAATTTTTGTAGCGAAGCAAGGGCTGCATTTCTACAATTGAAAAATATCTGAAAGTCCAAACAACTTTCAACCAAAACCAAAATCAGCATTTTCAATACAAATGTCAAGGCAGTTCTACTGTATGGAGCGGAAACTTAGAGAACTATCAATTCCATCATCCACAAGATACAATTATTTATGAACAGTTGTCTACGCAAAATACTTCGTATTCGTTGGCCAGACACCATCAGCAACAACTTACTTTGGGAGAGAACAAAACAGATTCCAGTGGAGGAGGAAATCAGAAAGAAGTGGTGGAAGTGGATAAGACACACACTGCGAAAAGCACCTAACTGCGTCACGAGACAAGCCCTCTCTTCGAACCCTCAGGGTCAAAGGAAAAGAGGAAGGCCAAGGAACACATTAGGCCTAGAAATAGAGAAAGACAGGAGAAGAGTGAACAAAGACTGGAAAGAACTAGAAATGGAATCCCAGGAAAGAGTTGGTTGGAGAAAACTGGTGGGCGGCCTATGCTCCATTGAGGGTAACAGGCGTAAGTATAGGAGGAATCATAGAATCTGATCAAGATATACCCTAATGATAATAGATCTCGACATTACAATGTATCACTGATGCCTTTCGTCAACAAATCACACCGACTGAAAAATCCGCTCAAATACACACTTGCAAGCTCGCTCAAAAATTTCTGCAACTTTTGTTCCGTTCGATACGCTGATGGCAATCCATGCTAAAACATGTTAGAGAATGTTCTAACATCCCTTTTTAGTTCAGCAGGTATATAGAGATGTTTCTGTCACAGTCACATCTCTATCACTTTTACTTCTACTGATTTTTTTACCCTGCAGTTTCTTGAAGAAACATAACAACGGCTATAAATCTCCGTGATAAATAACCCACATAAGTATGATCACAGGAGACAGAGAGTTCCTTGGTTCTACCAAGCAAAGTTATGACTGCAAATAAAATAGATCAACAGTTCAAGTTTCACCTCCGCTTTAAGAAACGTATATGCTGACTTCGGGAAATCACAAACCATCTTCAGTCGATACTAAAAAGAAGAAAAACGGCTTTCCCCCGAAGCCACTTATGAAGCATGTTCATATAGTTCAGTTGGTTGGATTTATTTCATGCAGTCGTTAACGCCGACAGACAAGTGACTAAAAACACGGGAAAACAAAGTGAAATGGAGATGACTGAGGCAATTTGATGCGAATCAGCATGGCTAAGTTTTTACAGTAAAAGAAAATAGGCCGGTCATGCAAAGCAGGCATTCACATGGACACTTGAATAAAACAACTAAGATTACAAACCAGTAATTTACGAGATCAAAAGACCTATAAATAGCTCAGGAAAATGGAATAAATAATTCATCCAAAGGCTAGAACAAGCCCTGTGAAATCGACCTATTTGTACACACTTCAGATTAAAGATCTTATGGATATTCAGTGCTCTACCACGCCTTTATGACAACCATTTTTATAATCGAGGATTCCAAAACCAATCAAAAAATATCAAGAATGTAGGAATCCCAAGATAAATGTGTAGTTGGTATGATCAGTATTTGCAAACACTATTCTTGTACAGATGCATCGTCGAGTTCATTGATAGAGACCTACATGGCACATTTTGGGGACACTTATTTACCAGTAAAATATATTTTGTAACACAATTCTCTCTAGTGCTTCCCAATAATCTCCAAATGTATCCAAGATTTATTATAACACTTCAACCATGTCGGTTAATAATCAAGAATCTTGGAGGGCTGTTGATGCTGACAACCCATATCTCTTCCTATTCATAATAAATGAAAGTGAACTTCTATTTATGGTTCTGTTACACAACTTACAGTCCTTTTGTTCAGTGAATGATTTCAGCGAAGTTCGCACAGTCAGACTAGCATATTCAAGGTGCTGAACGCCACCGACATATTGTGTAGTTGTTCGTGCTTTCTGTAATTCCAACAAGGCAAGATTCCAGGTAGATAGACAGATAAGTAGACAGGAAGTCGACATTTCACCTCAGAGAGCGGTGCAGTTTTTTCGTCGAATATTTAGTGGTCGGCATAAGCTTTACGAGTTATTGCATGATCAACCTCAGGGACAGTTTGTGTGAAATATTCACAATAATACCAGTTTCACTTCAGAAAACGTGCTCGAGTCACGGATATATTCCTGGTAGTTTTCTCAAAAACATTTATGAAAACATGGTTACCTGGTCACCCTGGTGATCGTTCCGCTGAGAGAATTTAACATAAGATTAAGCAAATAAAACAATTATTCTGATTCAACCTTGAAAGGTAAAAGTCTGCAAGGTTCGCTTTTCACTTTGTGCAAGGGTTAGTTGATCAGACACCTACAAAACTAGAAAATTGTCCATAAATACATTCCACTTTAAATAAGATGACGCATAGCCTAAAGATTGGGACCCGAAAATTACATATGACAGCTTGCATTAGCCAGTTATTTCAGCATGTAATATCCTTAGGTGTAGACTTTCCTGGAACACCTTAGTGATGAAAATTACGCTTCAGTATACAGTTATTCAAACTCTGATATTCCACCACTTGAACAATATGAGTGTGCGATGCGATTTATACAAAAGGATTCACGAGACTGTTCTGATTGTATACACAGAAAACAAAACAGAACTCATTTCAAAATACAGAGAGTAAATTATATTGATCAACAGAAGAAGAAAAATCACTCACTATTTGTTAGTCAATTCAAGTGTTTAGAAGTGCATAAAATAAGGCTGCGAAGGTTATATCACTAACTTCATGATCAACAGAACTTATCAATTAGTAACAGATCCCCTTGAGTTGTATATGTGTAAAGATTCGTCGCAATGAATAGTTAACAGCTTGTCAACTAAATAGATCATCATGTTTCCATCAGTCATATTACTTTAAGCCAGCTACATAAGTAAGTCCGTCTAGGCATATCCTGGCTTTTATGTTTGTTGTCTGCCCTTGAACCTGATCAAATTAGTTGTCTAATATTTATACACTATATCAGTGAGATATAATGTTGATCAATCAAAACTGACCAAAATTCACAACACTAAGCTAGCCGATTTCCACGCATACACTCTGCTTACACTCGAATGCTTGAAATATATTTTTCATTAAATCGAACATCTTGCTTTTCAAGTATTGCCACTCCATAGAGTACTACGAAAAATGTCTAATTTGGGTCCAAACAGCAGTTTCAGACGGTGTGGCAGAACCTCCTAATCAGTATGGCATTTTGAGAATAATCAACTTGAAGATGTCCAAGAAGTTCAAGAATACAACACTTAACCGACCTATTATTGTTAACAAGCTACTTGACCACAAGGCTGTAGGCAAATATGGATGGTATAACAGTTGAATTATCCATATCAAGGAGCGCTGACTGTGCTCCAATGCAAGATGCAAAGACAATTTTTACGACTAACCAACGGTAGTATATGTAATCGCTATTCGGGGCGTATTATTGTAGGACTTTCAAAAATTGGAGGTCGATTATGGTGAGTCGGACTGTCGGAACAAGTTAGTCAAGCTAACCCACTCGCAAGCACTTGTAACCAAAAGGACAGTTCTGTCAGTTCAGCCACACCACTGAAACTATTTTTCAACACCTCAAGGTTGTTGTAGTTGAAACAGCGCGAGATTCATTCCCTTCCCCCACATGGTAAGTCTATTAGGGTTAAGGACATGAGTTTCTCATGATAATAGTTAAAAGATATGTGATAAATAGAGTAAATAATACATAATGAACATAGTGAGCGGTACGTGTGTAATCAATCAAAGACAATCAAGGTTGCAAACGATTACCAAACAATTTCATAAAATGTGTGGTCAGTATATTAAGTAATATACTCAAGGCACTTCATACATTACTTGTTGTACCTGTTTTTACACTAACTATAACATATTTCCTTAAATTCTTAACTCCATTCATGATTCAGGTAAGTTTCCTGTGACTCAAAATTATGGTGTTATAGCCTAATCTGAATCCTGCGCGTTCGTTTTGCGATCTCGTCATTAGCGTCACGGCGTTTTATAAGTCACTTGCCTTACACTCATATTCGCTGAAATTTCCACCTTATATTTTCTCTGGTGTATTTAATCCTCATCTCGGGTTCGTTTATGTAATTTCAAGGGACGTCAAATTTAAATAATTAGAACTTATTTTTACTTTAAAATTTCACTCTTAATAGTATTATCACCTAAAATTAGTCACTTTTCTATCAGAAAACTTTAGAGAACATTTGAAATCCAAAAATCTATCAAGATAATGGTCTTATGGAAAAGAGTTATGTCTGACAGTGAAGCTTCAATTCATTAAAAAGCAGGTAGCTCACAAAATTAATTTCCCCCAATCGTTCATGAAATCTGATTTTGTATATTCGTCGGATTAATAAAACCCTACTTTTCAAGCTAGTGATCTAATCCTTGATCTCAGTTTACTAGGTTTCGCTACTTATTTAGTTTTGTGGATGGCTATCATTCAGGATACCTCTTATCATCGTATTTCAGTTATCGACGAGGACTCCTCAAATGTCCGTTATTAGTCTCGAAATCTCCATCCACAATAGACAATGACTGAGTATATCACAACCAGAGTTTTAAGTCTTACTGTATTCAAACAAATCTCGGAAAACTCCTTACGATCATCTAAATTCATATATGCAGAAGTCTCGTATAAATCCAACTCTAAGCCTTTGCGCCTAATAAAATAGTTGTATCCAAAAGCATAGTTTATCAATGTGTAGAACGTTGGTTTTGGTACTATTTAAGTGTCAATCAACCAAAAAATATTTTTTATTATTATTTGTTTTAGGCAGTACATTCGAAATCATATACGGAAGACCTACGTTCAGTTTTTAATAAGGTCGGTTAACAGTGTTTATTGTAGTCAATACTCTTTAATCATGTACTTGTTTTCTATTAGAATGATGTTATCATTTATCTCACTCAGCTTTTTTAATTAATGGAGGAATATTTCATAATATCACACAGAATTAACGTGTATAACACATGCCTCCACCGATCTAATCGGTCCATATTAAAAGTCTCAGACACTTACTGCAGCATTATTATACTGCAAATCCAGCGGTTCTACCGTAGATAAGCTACAAAAACACTTGTAGGTAAACACACGTAGTTTATAGATAATTTCTGCAATTACTGGGTTCGTGTTTTATTCATGGGGTACGACACTATACACGGTGGAAATAAGAGAGTTATTAAGAGGTGTAGGAAGGATTGATTATGACTAGTTTGGTCTCGTCTGCTTTTACGAAGGTAACAGTAGACAACTAGTCAGAGTTATAAAGGAAACCGGAATTAGAAATCTGACTGTTAGTGAGACTATCTCGGAAAAAGATGGGCGTATTGTTCATTCTCAATCCAGTAGATTGGTTCGATGTGTAGAACACTTTAGGGATCAATTCAACTAGTCCTCATCTACTCTTCCGTTACCCACGGTCTTCAGTCAACTTCAATGTCAAACTGATGTAAGTCCTCTGACTCTTAATGAAGTTAAAAAAGCTATAGGGAATCTAAGGCAAGGGAGAGCAGTGACTCCTGAGATTTTTAAGGATAATGGTCCAGTTTTAGCAGTTAGGTTGAGTGAGACCTTAGGTAGAATTCGGGAACCGGACACAATCCCATATGACTGTTCTCAATCCCTGATTGTCCCAATATATAAGAAATGACAAAATTTCTCTTGTTGCAATCACAGAAGAATCAGTCTAGCTAATATCAGTCAGTCAGTTGCAACGTAGAACTTCGTACGTATGTACATTAGCTCAGGTTGCAATACCACATTAGCTAATATAGTGTCTACGATGTTAGCCTCGATAATAATTAGACGCCTAACTAGAGCTCGTGAAGAGCAAACTAGAGAAAACCAGCCTGGCTTCAGACCTGGACGTGGATGTATAGACTATGTATTCACTCTTTGTCAGGTCCCGGAACAGACACACATTTCAGCGTCCCACTTTAGTTGTATTCCTTAACCTTAAGGCGGCATTCAGCTCTGTCGATCGTGAGGTTCTGTGGCAGTGTCTATCATTAAAAGGTGCACCAAAGAAGTAATTAACCTTATGCAGGCTCACTACTAGCTGAGTTATGCCGATGATATAGTTCTACTTAGTGAAGACACTGATAAAGTTCAGTCGTCTGAACACCTTGAGAAACAATGCAAGCATTTTCGGGATGCGATTCTCACCCTCGAAATGCAAGATTTTGCTTCAGCATTGCCCCCTGCGTTGGCACCTGAACTTATGACAGGGAGTGAAGTAGTTGAACGTGTTGACCACTTCACTTATCTTTGGAGCCTCATCAGTGCTGATTGCCTGGTGTCTGACGAAATATCGGCACGGATATAGAAGGCTCGACTAGCTGTCGCCAACTTACGTCACTTATGGCATAAGCGAGATATCCGTTGGCTAACCAAAAGACGGATTCACTGCTCAGCTATTCGCTCCGTCCTACTTTATGGCTGTGAAACATGGACACTAGGAAAAGAGGATGTTTGTAGGTTACTAGTATTCGACCATAGGTGTCTTTGAAGCATTGCTCGTGTATCCTGGGACAATCGAGTAATCAATACTGTTGTCAGAAAAAGGGTACTTGGTGAGGATGGCAAGTCGATTGACGGAGTAGTGAATCTTCATCAGTGGAGATGGTTGGGACATGCGCTACTTATGCCCAACCACCTCGTCGAGCGATGTTTTGTGTCGAAGGAGTAGGTTTGAAGAAAGTTAGGGGCGGAAAAACCAAAACATGGCACAAATCTATGTAGTCACTGACAAGTGGATTGAGCCATGTTGATAGATGTAGACTACCTGGATGAGGTTCGCGAGATGATAACCGATGGTTAGAGACTTTGAATAATATGGCTCAAAATTGTTTGAAATGGCTCAGATCCATCCACTGTTGGTGTTCTCTCAGATTCTATTCTGAATTCCTAATGACCATCTTTCTCTTGTCAAATCTCACTAGATTATACTCTTCAAACCCTAATCTGTACGATTACTGCTAAAACTTCTACCTCTAGCACTATGCGATTTGAATTGACAATACGGTCTCTGTGTGCTACCGTGGTATGGCAACTTGAACTGATGTACATACGTACGAAGATTTACGTTGTTGCCGACTGACTGACACTATACACCAGTTTATGGTGTGTTCGCTTGCTAATAAACAGTCGGCCATTATTCAATAATACTGACGGTGAAGGGTTGATAAATGCCAGGTAAAATTTGTATATACGTCAAACTCATGTTACCGATCATCCTATCAAAAATAGTATAACTCAAACAAGTCAAGTGGCAAACTCCCTCGCTCACTTTATTTCCGAAGCTTAAATAAAGTATCAGCGCAAGCTATTTTTAAGAAATCCACCTATACCTGGTAGGTCCTAAACGTATTCCAGGCATTTTTGCTAGTTGCCTTCAAGTAGCTCTGTTTGATAAGAGTATTTTTTGCATACTCTAAGTTAACCGTAGTATGAGCTTCCCAATGAACTAAGTTAAATTCAACACAAGTGGACAAAATACGAACTGTGTAATGGAATTAGGTGTGGCTATATTTGACCGAGGTAAAGTTCTGATCAATAGACTGAATTACAGTCTTTTCTTACAATTTGAAGTAATCAACCATCGAAACCCTTCTAAGAATTATAATGTTCCAATATCCTAGAAAGTTTCTCAATCATATCCTTTCATGCATTATGATAGTCATCCTTAAAAGATAAGCTGTCGTTCCACTGCTCGGCCTCATTACACGTTTGTTACATTGTCCGTAAGTTCTATAAAAACCTCGGAGCCGATTATGCCTCCATGAGATTACAACCTGATATTGGGAATTAGAATGTCGGTTGAAAACCACGTAGATTAAATCTCACTAAGTGTCTTGGCTACCGGTTTTGGGAGGTTAAAAATGAGTTAATTTCAGTGACAGTATCACTGATCAGCCTGTTTGGCGATTTTTCGAACCTTACTTGACGTTAATCACTCCTCCTTTTTTAACCTAAACACTACCGGTTATTGCGTAAATCCTTGCTTAATTTTGCAAATTAAATCAGACGAGTTACTGTATGATACTATGTGTTATTTTAGAAGTTATAATATGTACCCATTTATGTTTAACATTATTCCTACGCATAGTATGCCAGTGTCAACAAAGATGGTCAAATGTATATGACCCCGAAAGATTTTGTTGTCAAGTATCTACGTTTGTTCAATGAAGAAAATTACAATGTATCCTCAGTCAATTGTATTGCTAGTGCTGCCGATACCACAAAAGATGGGTAACTAAGGTTATTGTGGCTATTTCTAATTTGTGCATTTATTTTAACTTCATTAATAAATATACATGTGGAAAATTCACGTCGAAACGACAAATACCCAAATGAATATTTATGTATTAGCTAGGCAGCCGCGTTTGCTGTACTTTATTGGTTCAACTACTTAACAACCTACTCAACAGTAGGTCATCAATTTGAATCCCGATCTAATTATTGATATTTGGACTGGTAGTAGTATTATTCACTCCCAGTAGGAGTTATGGTAATATAAGGGTGAGAGATACTCATAGGTGTTTAGTGGCTGCGTTAAACTCGACGTAGAGTTCACCACTTTAGTGATCTGTGATGTGAATCCAATATGTACGAACAACTAAATATGCTATGAAACAAATCTTCCCTTCGATTTCCGCATACCGTACTTATGCGAACCCCATTTAGTATGATGGCCATAATAAAAAACCAAATACGGTTTTGCAGAAGAATTTATTTCATGCAATAGTCCAAGCAATCAGGCATGGGAACAAATACCATTGAAGCAAGGCGAAGTTCAGAAGGCGAGCGAGCCAACTCAATACGACGAGGCATGACTAATTATCAGTAGTCAGACAAAAATAGGCCAGACATGTGATTAGTGAAGCAAGCATACACAAACACACACTCGAATAAAGCGACCAAAATATAAGCGAACAATTTGCAAAGTTGAAAACCAGTGAATAATGGCTCGGCAGGAAAGGTTAATCAGATTGTCCGAAAGTTAAGACAAGCTGTGTGGGCTCGGCCTATTACTACACACTACAGGTTCCAATTATTCGATCATCTATGTTTTAAAGCATCGCTTTATCGGTTCTTACTGTCGTCTATTTCAGTATTATAGTGCATCAAGTCATACACTACACAAATGAAGCACTAAATTGTCAAGGTATAACGTGAAACCTTGCTTACATATACTAAAATAAACTGAGTAAGCCTAAAATATGTTTATTCAGACGCAACCATTCTTCACCTTTCACGATTTTTTTAGTACCAGTCAAACCATACTTTTTATTCATCGAGTTCAGCCATCTCTTTCAAGCCATGTTTACTCTTTTTCGCCGTACTTGATACTTGTGTTATTTCTACTCATTTTATATTCATCGTGTTAATTTCGTTTCGACATACTGATAAACGAGGTAGTTACGTCATTGCTATGGAGGAGATTTTTTGAATGATGTGATGACTGAAATTTGATTTATCGATATTAATGAGTTCAATGATGTAGCCGAGTGATAGCTGCTCATGAGACCGTATTACTTAAGCCCCCGAATGAACATTTGCCCAAAAATAGGCTTTTTGCATGATCGAATAACATTTATATTCAGGATATGAACTCAAAATAAGCATGATAAAACATCATAGGCAATCGGAAAAAATTGGCTTATAGGTGGGATAAATCACATAACAATGATGATTAGCTGTTTTTGAACATTCACAAACAGTCGCCTATTGATTAGTATTGATTTTGGTTCTAAGCTAAGGCGTTAAAAAAGTCTTTCAGATAATATGAATGCTATAATTAACCTCCATGTAAAACTACTTACTCTCCATTAATTTTCTACGTAATAGTTACTGATGTTCATAATGTTCAGTTTCTATAGGTTGATTTTTCACTGTGACTTGTAAATGTAGTTGCTTATTAATAATCCTACATTAAGTTGATTGGTTACCAAAATATCACTGATTAAGTAATAATATGTGAAAAAACTATCTTGTAAACTCTTTTTGTCGATAATTTCTTAAAAGAAATGAGTTGATAGGGTAATTGACATGTATATTTGCTATATTGTAGATTAATTTCTTTCGAAGAATTTCTATCATTTGAAACTCTTCTTTGCACGTGTGATTCTTTATATTTGTGGACATTTGAATTGTTTAATCGAGATGGTCACGGGGTCATATCATTTGGTAAGTGGAATAAAGAATATACCTATTTTCACAATGACAATAATATTCAGATCTATTAAATAAGTTAGTATTAATCTGAACTTCATAGTCCAATGAATAACACGTTAAGCATTTTCAGCCAAGCCATACTATGTTCAAGTCCCATTGTGGACATCAACATAATCATAAACTTGAGTAATATTTTCAAATCTATTTAAGAAATTCTACCGTCTTTGTAGCAAATTTTTTCTCGTTTACTATATCTTAGTGTTCAGTTATTAAACATGTTGGGATGTTATATTAAATTTTCTATGAATAAAAAAACCAGTGTAACTACTATGCTAAGCGACATGCGTCAAGGTTGTACTATTTTTATCGTATTTTCTGCTAACGATTTGAAGATCAATCAAATTCCAAAGATTTAGAATTTATAGTTATGTTTTTTAGATTGTTTTTCATTATGAATTCAAACTTCCACAGTTATACTCTTATAAATAGAATTAAATGACCTACTGATATGCTGGGCGAATCAGGGCTATCGTGTGGTAGGCAAGACATTTCAAAAGGGGCACACTATAGGTTGAAGGCGTTTATACAATTCATTAAGGTTTGAATCAAGTATCTGAGAGATATACATGTATATACATACCAACGGTTTGCTAATCAAGCTTCCTAGTTGCTCTTAGTTTTCTCATTCATGTACCATGTTGGCCTCGAATATAAGAAACGTGTATATTGACATAGAATCATACAACTGTGGAACATAACACAATTAGACGAATAATGCCCTAGAATTTTGATAGGTATTACAGTATGTCTTTTAGATTTGTGTATTTTCACTCATCAGTACTCATTCCTCTATTTATCTTTTCAATTTCAATTTTTATGCTAAGACAATTTTAAGAAAACACTCGATTTGACACTGGTGAACAAGGAGTTTGCTTTTAATTTCGACTGTGATTTCATCAACTTGCATTTTTCCAAGGACAGATCACGAAAAATTAACTATGATGAATTCACGCAAATAATTCATGTAAGACATAATTTCACATTATATATACATACATATATTTCAATTGTTTCCAAATATAACTCTCTAAATAACCATGTTCATTTTACCCGCATATAATACGCTGCTGATAAAAGGTTAGATGTCAAATGACCTAATTTCACTCTGTTACATTTAATCGAACCCGTTAGTTTATTGAAAGAGACTTTGTTATGTCTAAATACTAAACCGTAATGACTCCGGATTTTCTAATACTTAGTACCTATTGAACTTGAAACGAGTAAAAGAGACTGAAGAATAATTAATAATTATTTCCGTCCAGTTACTACAACTATTTGTGACTCTTGGATATTTTTTATCAAAACATTTGTTAGCGCGACTTTGAACATTATCCGGATTTCTATAAAAATCTAGTAAAGAATACTTACATTGCCAATTATTCATCATCATAGACCAGTGTATAACAGATTTCTAATATAATGTGACTGTGGTGATTTTTTCTAGAAAAACACAAACAGTTCCCAACAACTGATATCTTGTAAATAAAATTTTTGTTTGTAACTTAGCAGCTTAGTAGTAACATTTATGATATTCTAAGGACTAAGTGTTAGATTTTCCTTGCCAACAGAAGGAAAATTCAACAAATACTCACTAAATTATAAATGTTTCCAATCTCTTACATACATTCCCGGAGGTTATTTCACAAATCAGTCTAAACTAGTAACTAGTTGTAAAATAGTAATTTAATAATTTTCTAAAAACATAAGCCATTATTTAGTAGATGGTTCTCTTATTTTGTACAAAAGATTACGGTAAGTTGTAATGTAATTTGTAAAAAAAATAGCAACTTTGATTCAGCAACATTTTGCAACATATACACATATATGTAGAAAATAAAGTGGACTTCTCATTTCCATTATCGTTTGCAATGTTCATTTTTTTTGTCACTTCATTCAATCTTATTCAACTATTTTATCACAACGATTTTCTCTCGTTTACTTTACTTTCTTTAAATATGTTTACTTATGCTTGTGCCTGAATATTGTAGGATTTCAATGATGAACATGCTATTCAAGCATTTAAACAAATGGATCAAAGTAAAACTGGAACAATTACAATTAATCAATTCAAAAGTATTATGTTACAATTGAAAAGTCATTTGCTAACTCATTTGATTAAAGAAAACTTACTCACAGTTAGTTGTATACGTTTATTTGAATCGCTTAATTTGATTGTTTATTGTTATGTTCAAACGGTTCTTTGGTCCTACTTTAAGTAAATTTATATGAACAAAGAGATTTAGACTAAATACGTACACTTGACCAGATTACCACACTTTATCAGCATAACGAAGATTGAATTAGCGAAATTGTACAGTGATGCATTAAGCTTCTGTGATATGTTTGAAAAACATTCTCCTATTTAACCTTCTGATCTGAAAATGTTTAGTTTTAAATATAAACAGATATCTTTGTTGTAATGTACACCCAACGTGTTATTATCCCTTTAAAAGTGCAATATCTTCGACAGGTTATTTTCTCATCATTACTGTTTTACATTTTATGTATATCAGTTTCAATGCCAGATGTTAAATGCTGTAGGAGTAGATTTTTAAAAATCTAGAAGTAGCCAGATGAAAACGTAACATGAGTCTGTGAAGTCATTGAAAGCTGGTTATACGATGTTACTGTTGTCTGATTTCAGTTAACTATGTATGTGGACGTTTTTTTAATAATGACGCTTTGGTTTAAGTTTGTAAAAAATCCCTTTTACAAACTCAACCCACTCACTCTTACATGAATACTGGTTCAGTTAAGTTACTATCATACAATCTCTTCATTGATCCTGTAAGATTTGCATCAAATCAGTAACTTGCTTAGCAACGAGCTTAAGTCTCCACTCTCCTTAGGTTTACACTCGTCTATTTAGTTGATACTCTTCGAACTAATGCTACTGATTCTTCGCTTCAGTTATGAACTAAAATTTCATAAAGACCAAAACACCAAACGTCTATAAATATTCGTACAATTACCGTGAAAATAGAGTTAAAAATTAGCTTGCTAGAAACTTACTGTGTAATAAAAATATCCATATTGCAGTGTTGATAGAATTTGGTTTTGTGTGGATGATTGGCAAGAAAAGAAGGAGATCAAATCTTCAAAATAAAGATATAAAAATAACCAAGAAGTTAGTGGCTTTGTGTGAGTTCAACATATTTTACCATACTTGGTAATTAGACAGGGCTGCATTTCTACAGTTGAAAAATATCTGGAACTCCAAACAACTTTCAACCAAAACCAAAGTCAGGATTTTCAATACAAATGTGAAGACAGTTCTACTGTATGGAGCGGAAACATGGAGAACTACCAAAGCCATCATCCAGAAGATACAAGTGTTTATTAACAGCTGTCTAAGCAAAATACTTCGTATTCGTTGGCCAGACACCATCAGCAACAACGAACTGTGGGATAGAACAAACCAGATTCCAGTGGAGGAGGAAATCAGGAAGAAGCGGTGGAAGTGGATAGGACACACACTACGAAAAGCACCTAACTGCGTCACGAGACAAGCCCTCACATGGAACCCTCAAGGCAAAAGGAAAAGAGGAAGGCCAAAGAATACATTACGCCGAGAAATAGAGAAAGATATGAGAGGAATGAACAAACATTGGACAGAACTGGAGAGAGAAGCCCAGGACAGAGTTGGTTGGAGAAAACTGGTGAGCGGCCTATGCTCCATTGGGGGTAACAGGCGTAAGTAAGTAAGTAAGGTAATTAGACAACTAAACTTATGGCACGATTTAATTAAGAGCTTAATTCAATGTTAGATGTTAGCCTAATATTAATTCTTTTAAATTGGTTTGGTCAAACCGATCGTTGTTTATGTTAATACCCCATCACATAATGTATCCTGTAGAGCTGACTACCCGTTGTTCTTATACTACGGGTTGAAATCGAATTTAGAGTAGTTCAGAATTCAAAGATGATAATTTTCTCCCCAGTTAACTACTTGTACACAAAGTGCACATCGAATAAGCGTCTCGATACTACCAACTCATTTTCTGACAAATCCCCATCATCTTTTACTCTGAATATTATCGAGAAGTGCTAAGTTAAAGACTGTTCGTACCATAATAAAAGTTAGCTATACAAACTATTTGCTAATTATTCTATATTTATAAGATATTTTCAACATAACGTTCTCTCTTTATGGTTATTTAGGTGGCCTTACAAAGCGAAGTAGATAGTGGTCGTATTACCTTTGCTTATTATATGGCTTTCATTACTCTCTTGACTAATATGGAATTGATTAAAAAAGTGTATTTAAGTCGAACTCGTGGGAATGCTAAAATAGAATTAACAAAAGGTAAGTTACCAATGATAATTATTCCCTAAATATTAAATATTTTGCTTCTCATACATTTGATATTTCACCGTGATTTGTATCTACATGTAAATTGTATATTTAGCTATTAATAGGTAGTTGTTATATAAATAACATTGTAAATAATCTCAGATTATTTTTATAAAGATTATGTATACATTTAAATAATTTTCCAGAAACGGACCATTAGTAAGCAATGGATCATATTCCACCTACGTCAACAGTCATTTACTCAATCTTTTTTATTGTCAAACAGGAATTATATAACCTTCTCGGGTAAGATAGAATTTCACCAGTGACCTGGGTTTTTAGAATTTTTAGGCATTAACATACACATGTAACCGCAATCACATTTGTCCGGTTGAGTAATTGGAAGAAATATAGAAAAGACACAGTCGCAGACTCAAAACGAAAGCTGTATAAATGACACGACTAATCATTCTTACACTCGTCGTAAACAGGTGAATATTCACTATACAAAATAATTCGATTGTAGCTGTAACCAAACTGACACATAGTTCGTGAACAATGTATTCCTAACGGTTCGACTATCATTACAATGTCAAAAAATCCTGTCTAAATTTTTTAGACTCAGCGTTAACAAGAAATAGCATTCTGCACACTCCCATTGAAATTACACTGGCTTTGTGCTGCATTTCCAGGGGTCATCATACGCGTAGATTTTGTTTCAAAATCGTCTGCTAAATAAAGGTCATAATAAAAGTGATACGTTCATGCGTTATACCAATAGCTCACACCTTCTATTCTTCTCTGTCATGCTAACTAAAGTAAAAAGACCAGCTTAGTAATGGAACCCAGTACATCAATCTGAAATGCATATGAGGTAATCAGTTACAATGATTAGAATTCATGAACTTAGTATTTGTTACTAAATAAAATTCATTATGAAAGTATGTTGTAAGTCATTGGCAAATCATTAGTAATCTTCAATTCTTAACAATAAACTTTGAACAAACTTTCATTCGACTTATAAAAACATCAATTAATAAGCTTCAATAACTTTCCTTCTAACAACAAAGCTGTTTAAAGTAAAGTAGTTTTCTTCATCGAAATATTTTATTCAAATTGTTTGTTTGTTTATTTTTTTCAGTTTAAGCTCATTTTCAATAAATTTCATTTAACAATTTATTGAGAAAAAACTAATGGTAAATTCTTTTATTTTTTTTTATTTTAGAGGAAATGTTGAATGAAGCACAACATTTCTCTCAAATTACACCTATGGAAATGAATATTCTATTTCAGCTCATTTCACTTCTTCGGAAAGATGAGTAAGTTAAAATATACATTTTATCATCTGTATAAATATTTTTCATTCAAAGTATACAAATCTAAATATTTCTAAACTTTGTTTTCTTTTTTCTAATGGTAATGTTAACTAAATGAAACAAGTAGATATGGATACTCACCTTAATGTTCATACTGGTTTGTGAAGGTTATGGTATAATATCATGTTTGTTGGGAAATATAATCCACACTTGTGTATTAACTCATTTTTATACTGAAGAATTATTTTAGTTTGTAAAATACTGAAAGTTCCCATCCTTTATGTAAGAAGCCGTAATAGCGAATAATATTTTGTTTTCAATCAGACTCCAATATTTACGGGCATGAAAAATATTAAATCAGTCAAGTCACTTTGTAAAACCAGTTAAAAAGCATCTCCCTTTGTGGTTTTACTAAGAATCAAACAAAGTTAATACATGCGGCTTTCCTACTCGAGTGACAGTGGTGATGTGGTGAGTGAGATAAAAATCCTTGACAGAGTTTGCAATCTTTATCCTTTTTTCGGTCACAGGGAACTTTATGAATGATCTTCGTAATTCTTCCCACCATTCATTTGTTTTCTTGCACTTCCTTCGTATGCTTTCTCTACTAATCGTATATTCACACCGTATTACGCAATTGCGATAATTGTCATTTTATTATTGATAACAGCGCTTTTAGCTAGTAGGTGATTCCGGAACAATAGCTAGGGATGTACTTACCTGCAGAAGAGCAGCACGAAGCCAGTATAATATACGCAAGTTCTAGTGAGAAGCCATGAGCAATGAAGTTCAACTGTGTCTGGTGTTGAAACAGTTGCTCACTGGATTGATTAAAGTTAGGCATTAACACCGCTGGATGCCGGATAAGTGGTCTAAAGGTTAAGCGTTTGCGCGCACGATCGAAGGTCCTGAGTTTGGTTCCTGCGTTCAGAGGTCGTGGATGCACACTGCTGATGAGTCTTATACTAGCACGAAACAGCCGTCCAGTGCTGTTGTGTAGCATTCTCACGTTACAATATTGAGGTACAAGAGGTCACAATTATAGTAGTTGCTGTGGCGTTTCAGTATCTCATAATATTGATTTCGGTCAATCGCAATACCTATGCTGAAATGTTTGTTCATCATATCGTTTGTTTGTATAATCATTAGAATTACTATTACATTGGTGATTTATTCATCCTTATTTGTGCATTCGATTTGTTTGTTATCATTGACTCACAAAATATCTTGATTGATTTAATGTTTTCATATACATGAATTAAAAATAAAATTGTTTACTTTTCTATCTTATACTGGTTACCAAGACATTTTTCTTTACGCGTATAAAAATGTTTTCGATTTGTCATTCAACTGTGTCATCAATAATCAAAAGTTAGATAGTTATTCATGATTAAAAAATGTCTATCACACTGACCAATGTTATATACAAAGAGTTCTTTTCTACTTGTTAAGCTATTCGATCAATGATGTGTTGAAGAATAAATAAGTGGTCTCTTATAAAAGTAACATGCATAACCCTTTTTTTAATTCATATTAATTCCTGTTTACTTGTAATCGATGTCGTAATCAGCGTTATAAAGTCTCAGTGTGTGACTGTGTTGTAAATGGAATGTTCATAGTTACTGATTTATTTATCCTGACGATTGTTTTCAAAATGAATATAAGCTACTTGTAATCCTTTTACCACAGCGTAACTTTCATTATCTTCTCTCCTTTGTCCAATATTTACCTGATTCTGTAGATGCGTTAAGCAAGCGAATGAAGATTTAGTTAGATGAAATCTATTTTTTCGCCACAAGCACTACACAGCAGAAATGTCTCACTTGACTATCCTAAAATGTCAATAAGTGCAACCTTATAAAAATGCAATATAGAAATGCTCTAAGGTTAGGTAGTGTTGATAGCTAATGATATCTCCCGTTTTTTTTTCAATTTCAGACGTGTTACTTATCAAGATTTATGTGCCATTACCCCTTTAGAAGACGATTCCACACCATACCATTTGCATGCTCGGCTCCACGTATGTTCTTTGTTCAGTGTTTCATGTTGATTGAGTAACCTAATTAGTAAATTTTCTGTTCATGGTATACTATTTAATCATTACTTAAATAACTTTCAAATATATAAAGTGATAGTATAGATAAAAAAACAGTCGGTGAATTGGTTCTGTTTTTATTATAATTCTTTATAATGTTTCTTTAATTTTTGTTTCCTACTACTATATCAAAGTAGTTTTTCTACTGAATCTATGTAACCATCATATCATTCTTTCTCCCCAAGATGGCAGTCGAAAGCCGTCAGTTATCAGGCTTGATAGGTTTCATTCTGCACTACAACTTGTCTCCTTTAGTGATGTATCAATTACAGCTGTTAGTAAATCGACGGCTAGCAAATAGTGTGCTTTAAAATTGGTAGGTTAGTTTTCCACGCTAAACCTCAACTCCTAGTTTGTTTGTTTGTTTTGTATAGAATTCCATCTCACTCTTGGTCTGTGATATTATCAACATAAGCTAGCACTTCAATGGAAAACACCTTTATTTTGTTTTTTCGTTTATACCACGTTAAATGAGATGCATTTACTTAAGCAAAGCTAACCTAAGAGTATCAATATAATTTCAAGTTGACATTTTAGGTTCCCCAAGATTACTTGAACTAACCACAAGCTGGTTCTCATCAATACCTAAAAGAAAAGATGTGAACACCAACAGTAGAACAACTCACAATAAAAATCTTGATTATTTTTTAAAATGCAATGTCTGGCTGGTCAGTGGTGACCCAGTTGCTGCTAGAGCGTTTAACTAAGTCTGAAGTTCAAATCTCTGCGCTCTATCAACTTCAGTTTGGATAACCGAAGATTATCACTAGCCCTCACCCCTCAAATCCAAGTATACGAGCTTGTACCTAATAAATAAATAATTATTCTTATAAATTACTACTCAATTTAATAGTCAACTCATCATTATTAACTGCATTCTAATGATATGACTATCCATAGATTCTAACATTTTAGGTAACTTGTTTATCAATTTTAAATAAGATATGTTATGCTTGAGTTTTTCATGTTCAGTGTTTTAAATAGATGAGTTTATGCTTGAATAACCTTGTATTTTTAATACAGTAATCGTGTTATGAAAATATACTACTATATTTCTAGTCACTAAAATATACTTTTTATTACATTCTTATATATAATTAGGGAAAGCCTGAAAATAATATAAATGTACTTCAGGGAAGAAGTGTTTTAATGTCCGTACTTGAACAATGTTATCGGTTCACTTTAGGCTCAATTGCTGGTGCATTTGGAGCTACTGCCGTCTATCCAATTGATCTTGTTAAAACAAGAATGCAAAATCAACGTACTACTGGATCAACTATGGGCGAACTTATGTATAAAAATAGTTGGGATTGTTTTCGTAAAGTCATTCGGTAAGTTTTTAGAAGTGTATATTTATCATAATCTTTACTAAGATAATCACTTCTTTAGATTAAATCACACTAGCCGATGACGATATTTTAAAAGTTTTACCAGTTTAAGCTGATTCCCATCCCACTATTTCTTCAGTCGGTTCAATCATATACTTTTCATTAATTAAATTCCTATCATCCAGTACTTACACCTTTGTAATTAGTTTATACATTTTATTTTATGACTGAAGCAATCATCCACTGCAGACAATGGAATATGGTCGCACAACATCGTGAATTGATTAAAATTACACACCTACATTACTGAATGCTGGTTCCAGTGCTAGAAACTATGCGTTCTCCACCCGTTAATAGCCTGGTTCATCAGTTTCTTAATGGTCAGGTCGTTATCGAAGATGTCCATCAAGTAACATGCTGCTTGGTCTTCTAAGAGCAGAGCGTCTTTCTCTGCCGTGGGATGTTCACCGATTAACCGTTACAAGGCATCTACCTGACCAATATGTTAGATGCAACGGCACTGAATGTCTAAGTCATATTCCAATATGACCAGGGCCCACCGTCGGAGACGATTTACAAAATGAGCTGAGATACCAGATCTTGAGCCGAAAACTGTAAGCAGAGGCTTGTGGTCTGTTAGCAGCGTGAATCTCCAGCTGTTTGAAAACTTATGGAAACGGTGCACGACAAAAACAAGTGTAAGCGCCTCCTTTTTTATCTGGCTGTACTTCTCTGCAACAGTTAATGTGCGGGATACGTGCATAATGGCTTTTTCGGTTACGCCTGAAAATTGATGCATGTTGATAGCACCAAGTCCAAAAACTGAGGCATCTGCAGTCTCAATGATAGGCATGGATGGGTCGTAGTGTGTCAATAATAATAATTGTGAGCTAATGATCGTCTTCAGCTTGTGGAAGGCTGTTTCACACTGCAGCCCGTTGTGTCATAGATTAATCTCAAATACTTTACTGACTTTATGAAAAACTGACCAGAAACCATTATCACTGGTGCGTTGCAGCATAGTTGTCTTGTGTTCTCGTAGTTCTCTTAAGTGTGGTAACAGTTAGAATATCATCGAGATAACCTGTGGCATCAGAAATACCCGCTAGAGTAGTATCCATTCACTGCTGTAAAATAGATGGGTCATTCTTGACTCCAAATGGCAGGAGCTTTTATTGAAACAACCTACGATAGTTAGTAGCTCTCTTGATTCTTCATCCACCTCACCTTGCAAATGAGCACCAACTAAGTCCAACTCTACGAAGCATTTACCGTCGTTTAGGTCGGTGAATAAATCTGCAAGCGGCGGCAGTGAATAATGATGTTCAAAGGCTGTGTTAGACCTGTAGAAAAATCTACACATGTGTGGATGGTGCCATTCACCTTCAAAATAACCACAATCGGAGCAGAATATTAGACAGGAGTGATAACTCCCTGTTGAGTTCTTCAACTAATGATAAAGCTGCATATATCCATGGTCTATTTGGATGGAAAACAGGTTTAGCCCCAGGCTTCAAGCAAATAGTTGCTTTCATACCGGAATACCGACCACAAAACAGGCTAGAAGATAGTTCAAAAGTGTGTTGATAGCTTCGTGGCATGTGGTGCTTAGCGGAACCCTAACTAGTAGCAACTCTTCAAACCAATCTAGATCAAGTAAATTTTAACCATACCCAGGTGAATGTTGACTCTGGGAAAGACATCACAATCAAGCTGCCGCGACAGACGCAAATAACCACCATATGATGTCCGAGCTTTCTGTGTTGTTGGCCTAATGCGAGGGCTCTCTATTTTGACCCAGAATATCCGACATACAATGGCAATGTCAGAAGCAGTACTTACGTAAAATGTCAACGAATGCCCATTGATATTACGAGTAATGAATTTTGTCTCCCCGTTGATAAAATCCATCTCTGTAACCAATAGATTTACATTCTCTGCAATGATGTTGCTTGAATGTACATGTTCGTACAAAATGCCACGTCCCACAGTGTCAGCAGGAAGCCGGAAGACTTATCTTCGTTCTCTGTACTGAGTTTGGGTAAGCTGAGCTAGCTATAGCATGCCCAAGTGTGATAGGGTTGGCTGGTTGGTGGACTACATGGACTTTGGAGCGATCGGAACCTCACTGAACCGTCATAGTATCACTCTGTAGATTAATCAGGCGTTGGTACTCATTCGGAGTATCACTCAAGGCTAGTTTTGGGTCCTGGTTTTGCTGACTGACTAGCCGTGTCATGATATCACTAAAATTTTAAAATTATAGACTGAAGATGAGGAAAACAACTTTGAACTGGTCTTCAGTCAACAAATTCAATCGAAGCTGTTCACTTCCACGGTCCACGATGCCAACGTACATAAAGAAATCGGGATCTTTATTAATAACCAGCTTTAAACACCGATATTGTATGTTGAATAATAAGGAATTATCTCCCAAAATGCTAGCTTAATGATTGATTAGTATCAGAAACAAGCGATCATGTGGGTTCTGTGGCAGAATCAAGTTGCAATACTTATCTAGCTCACATAAACGTAATTTCTAAACTAGCAAATTAACCTTCCAGGCATCAAAATCAAATTTAGATAGATTCTCATATTACCAAAACTGCATATCAAAAGTCACTTTAGAATCAGAATCGTGGTGAGATTTAGTAAATACTATTTGCAATGCCATCACTCAACGGTGCACTAGTAGAAGTAGCTGTGCTAGGCTGCGAAGTAGATGTAATTTTCGTGTGTGCCAACAGCTGGATAACATTTAGCTGCTGCTCCAACAATAAATCTACTTTTATAGGATCCATAATTGCACCTGTCACTTCTATGCTTGAGCTAATTAAGATACGACATGATGTCAGTGTATGGAACGTAAACCCAATAACAGGACAGCTAAGTTATTCTCTGTGACCCAGCCCATCTAACTAGAACAAGAAGTTTGGAGTCAGTAAGGAGTTTCTATTGTCCACAAGCAACCTCAAGCAAAAGAATTAATATGCATTCAGTTCGCAGTGCAAAAAGCGTTCTTGGAAGCGTTACAAAACAGCACAACAAAAGAGAAAACTAACCAATCATGTTTTAGGTTCTCCCGGCAGGAAAACACAAGCTTAATGTAATCAGTAGCGCTTTTGGCGCTAAAATTAACCTTTCGAAATTCCATAAATGAATTACAAAATGAAGAGATTTACCAAGTGATTACTGGAGTTCTAGCATTCTCAATAATAATGTATGCAAATACAAGTTTTCTGATCTACTTTTTGCAAGCTGACAAAAATCTATGTTAAAAAATGCCTTCATGTGATATTATTTAAAATAAGTTAAAACAATAAATAAAGAAAGCTACATTCTTTAATCTTTTTTAAACCTTATTAATTTAATATTTTCATTTCTATTCTTATTTCATTATTCAGTTTATAGGATATCAATCCTAAATTTAAACACATAGCATATTACCATGAAATAGTATGTGTATTTTCATCTTTACCTGTCGTTAGTTTTCCCAGTTTGATTTTCTCATCACTTGTTAGTTAAACAGTTCATTTTTTATATTGAGAATGAAATTTGAAAGAATCTGTAGCTTACAATACATTTCAATTAATTAGTTCACTGTAAACATAATTGTGCTCATTTTGTGAATACAGATTATTTGATTAATCTAGTTCATTTATATTGATTCTTCCAAATTATAAGTCACTAATTTCATCAAAGTTTCACCTTGCAATCTCTCTGATTGGTTATTTATTCGTATATATTTTCTTGGACCTGGTTATTGTATTTGAATAATATGATGTATGAATAATGATACAAGTTCATATGTTTGGATTCTATGTCAATAGTTTATCAACCAAATGTCGTTAAATACAGCAGTCACTAAACATTTAACTACATAGTTTTACTTATTTTTAAACAGATTATGGTTTAAGTTTACAAAAAAGTTTTACCTTGTGAATGTCGCAATTAACATTGGAGAATACCTCTTGCTCAGGACAAGAATGTTGGAGATAATGTCTTCTCTGTGCTGGGTGGTTTATTTGACCAAAGTACTAGATGTCTGATATCCATCTCCTGGACAATTTAGTTTGTTCTTAGGAAACTTATAGTTTCATTATCCTAATTAATGCTATTTCTATGCATATTATCTTCTCAAAATCTTTTTTTGTATTTTGCAAGATTTGAAGGTTTCTTCGGTCTTTATCGAGGTTTAGGACCACAGATATTAGGTGTCGCTCCAGAAAAAGCAATTAAACTTACTGTCAATGATATGGTTCGTGATCAGTTTACCAAACCGAACGGTGATATTTCAGTATATGCTGAAATCCTGTCCGGAGGTTGTGCAGGAGCAAGTCAAGTGATTTTTACTAATCCTTTAGAAATTGTAAAAATACGACTTCAAGTTGCCGGTGAAGTTGCTAATACAAAGCATTTATCAGCCTTCTCAGTAAGACATTTACTACAATTTACCTTTATAACTTGTATATATATATCGAACCCATGAATACTCACTTCAGCCCTTAAAATGTTTGCGACCAACTAATCAACACTGCTTGTTGAATCATGTTAGTCTCTTTCGTATATTAAATTTGAAAATGAAAACTCAAAGAACAGGATAAAAATCAGTGTTAGATTCTCAACACCAATTCATTTAATTTGATGTCTATAAACTGAGCACAATCATGGATATGTATACATTAAGATTCTTTGACTTTGTAAAACGTTCAACCATTCCCCAAAACCAGAACAGAGTTTAAACAGGTAGTTAACCACATTCTAACAAACCAAGTTGAATGCAAAAGAATCACAATAATGGGAATGTTAGCCTATTTATGATTTTTACACAAGAATATTCTTGAACTTTCTCCAGCTGTCCACTAGCACTGATTGGCTAAAAATGCCTCAATCAGCGTGCTCTAACATAATCTGTCTTGCATTGGACATACTTTAATCCAATAAATATCCTTCTAACGTTAGGTCATATTCGCACTTGTCTGTATATGAAGACTAGATTATATAATACATTCTGACTAACATAACGTTCCTATGTTTTATGTGGTAACTGTTGATTGACTTCAACTATCCGATTTTGGAAAGGAACTCCTGATGAGGTTGTTTGATTAAATGTTGATTTCCAAACGTCTATTGACATTCAAACAATGTTGGTGTTGGGAATGCATTTGTTTTTTCTCTAACAGTACATGGATATTAAATGCTGAATTATGTATATACAGAATCTGCAAAAACTGCCTCGAATAGTTTGATGTTCATTCGAAACTTATTTGTTTTTCGTTTCTCATTGTGAAAGGTTGTCAAAGATTTAGGACTTTTGGGACTCTATAAAGGATCAAAAGCTTGTTTTTTGCGTGACATCCCATTTTCAGCCATTTATTTTACTTCATACAGTCGTTTGAAAAAGTATTTTGCTAATGAGAACGGTTGTAACTCATCAACAAGTTTGTTAATGGCTGCGACAATTTCTGGAATTCCTGCAGCATTTTTAGCCACACCAGCTGATGTAATTAAAACAAGATTGCAGGTATTAATTATGTACTTTACCTACCTTTGTATCAAATTTGTTACATACTGAGTACTTTATGATATGTAATCGTTAATTATCTGGTTATGATTTTCGTATTTATTGAAACACGAATATTAGTACAAAGTGGTATCTAAATATTTATGCGCCACATAAACCATTGAGTTTGTATACGGGCTGAGGTTCTGCTCGGACGCCAAAACCTTAGCAGGTGGTTTTATTAAGGGTCACTTTTCGAGCCTTAGACCTAGAGGTCTTACCCAAAAGGAGGTAGACCAACGTCGGGAGATGCAGTCCTATGGTAGCAGGTAGCCAAATTATGTTCATATCCTATTTGTTCCCACAGGATCCTAGAGCCCATGTGTACCATTGGTATTGACTTGGAATCAGAGTTTTCCAGCTCTCCTAGGTGTGGATCCTCCGTACCCACCAACCCGGTTAAAGTTCTGGATATTCGCTTTTTGTTCTCAATTTCTTAAACAATATCCCCGCTGCGAGAAGACATGAGTAGGAATATCCTTACAGGGGCTACATACACGTGAAAATATGAGAGCATTTCATGGGGGGGGCTGACTCTCCCCAGTCTCGACCATACCAGGGCATCATCCAGTTATGACGAACTAAATTGTGAAATCTATTCACTTCATATCTTCTATAGTGGTTTAAATGAGGTACAGTCAAATTCATATTCTGAAGTAGTCACATATAACCATCGATTTCTTTACCAACTCTCATGTTAGTGCACATTAGAAGTAAAGTTAATAAAATTTTTATCTAGGAAAACAGCCTCATCTGTAGTGATTTTAGCCATTGAAATTTTTTGAAAGATATTGACAGGCATTATAGCGTAACATTCAAGAAAACAAAGTTAAAAGTTGTAAACAAACCGATATTTATTATTTAATAAAGTGGAGATTTTCGTACTTTGAAAAGACACTTGGTTTTTTTCTAAGAACTGAGATCCCATTCTTGTCAATAAACTAGCTAAATTGTTTTAAAAAGTGATTTAAGAACATAAAAACAGTACTCGTAAGATAAATTAAAAACCAATAACGTCTTATTATGCAGACTATGGAGAACATGTGGACAACCAAACTCTAGGGGAACATGGCCAATCTTGTTCAGGTCATCAATACACTAATTACATTCTATCAAATATGTTGACACCGTTTTATATTATAGATTGACTATTACTACTTCATTTCTAGACCTTAAATCTATCTTCGAATCGTTATACAGGAATATGTTTGTTGTTTTTTTACAGGAAAGAGTCCATACGGAATATCCACACACATGTAGAAGAGTACGACTATCAAATGTGTTTTTAAAACAGCTTTGTAGTAATGACGCAAGAATAGTATAGATCTGTTACTAGAAGAGAAACTGTCAGAATCCCGTCTAATTACTTGCTAATTAGCACCCATAAATGTGGTATATGCTTTTCATTATCAAAGTATAAAATACTTCTAAATAGCTAACAGAACTCTATGCCTTCTGTCACTCCTAATGATTAATCTCTCGAAGTAGTTACCGAAAAGACCATGTATTTTAGCGTTTGTTCTTACATTAGCATCATAAACAACATCACTCTTTGAATAATAAAAATTAAATAAATGGATACCTGTCAATCCTCTCTGACTTTCGTCTTTATATTTCAACTGTAAAATGTTAACTGTATAAAAAATTATTGTTTTCCAACAGTAAACTACGATTAAAGTATATCACTATAGCTATAATTCATTATAATTTACTAGGTTGTAGCGCGTACAGGTCAAACAACATATACAGGAGTAGTTGATGCAGCTAGAAAAATTTGGCGTGAAGAAGGCGGTCGTGCATTCTGGAAGGGATCAGCTGCTCGTGTATTTCGATCTAGTCCGCAATTCGGTGTGACACTTTTGTCATATGAAACACTACAGAGATATCTAAACTTTGATTTTGGTGGAAGGTACTTTTCACATTTTATCGGCTTTCTTTAGTTATGTATAATTCCTGTTCTATGTTTTCGCTCACCTTTGATTTCTTACCAATCATAGTAAAGGTCATATTTCAGACTAAATAACTCAGCCCATATGTGACATAATATGATTGTTTAATTAAATTGACAAATAATGATTTAAAAAACTTCAGACGCACTAGCAACTACCTAGAACGCTTTTTTATATAATCGCCATAAATGTAATGGTCTGAAGTCTTTTTATTTGCCTTATAAAAAATGTTTAGAATAGTCTCTGTTGTTGTTATTTTCAACCTCGAATTTATATCAATGAACTTTATTGGCTTTGTGAATTACAATCGCTATGATTGAGATGGTTTCTGGTTCAAGATGAAGATGTCGGAGGTATATTCGGTCTCTTAGTTCGATGGTTTGGTTTAAAGCTTTTGTTGTTCTCCTGAACACTATCATCAGCACATACTTTACAACCAAACTATCTAGATCAGAGAATAAAACACCCAACTTAAGTTGAAATTATCAGTGATATGGGTCTGATAGAATAATAGACACCTAATATCGATCGATAATGTAACTATCCACGTAATATAAATCATTATATCCGTAACCGAATTCATAACAAACAAATATTACAATAAACAATTCATTTTCAAAATATCTATCTACTTGTACCAATCAATTGAAACAGCCAATGAAAAGATTAAGTTTCTTTTTTCTGAATAGTGTTTGCATCAACCCAATAAGAAACATTCAATTATAATATACACTGATTTATCACTGGATATTGTAGTAAGCAATGTATCTTGCTTATATGGCTCTTTGAGTTGATCAAGTTACACTGTAGCCACTAGTTCAAGTGACTCGACATCTCTTACATAACGTTTTAATGTTAGTTGTTTAAAGGTAAGGTAGGCGGTAACAGGCTGGCAAGCCAAGATCTTGGTTGGTAAGCTTTATCTCTTATTAATTTATAATAACTACGTATTATTTCATATGTTCTAACGGATTCGTCATTTCATTGTTATGTTTTTATCAGTGATTTTACCATAAATTTAATATTTATGTATAAACTTAATATTATTATAGTTAATCAGTATTCAAAATATTATTCTATCCATTTTTTTGGTTTCTGATTATTGATACATATATTTTTTCAGGGAACTCTCTGGTAAACCAATTAGTCATCGTGTACAATCAGTTCCAAATGGTTCTGATCATATTGGCGGTTATCAATACGCAACAGCCACATTTTCTGGTATTGAATCACGATTCGGATTATGCTTTCCAAAATATACAGTGAATTGAAATGATTTCCTTCCTTCCTTCCTTTTTTTAATTTCTGCGCCTTCACAATTCCATCTCGGTTTAACAATTCTTATCATTTTTTTTTTCTATTCAACATGGCAATGATAAGTTAGTTTGTAAACTACATTTGATTACAATTCTCAGGTATCTGAGTCTTGTACAGAAATCATTCCATGAATATTTTTTTACATGTACACAACGTTTAACGTAATATATTTATTTGCCTAATATTTCTTCTGTTCATAAATGATATTATGGATGTAAAAAATATAGGATATATATTCATATATGTATCACCTTGTTCCCTTGCTATTCCTAATTCACATTTCTTATGTATTAATAATTATGGACATCATAGACATTACAAATAATCTATCAGTTTTGTCTCTTTGTCATTTTATACTATTCTATTATTTTACACATTGTAACAGCCTTACAATGTTTGATGTGTTTAACAGCTTGTTTTTGTTTTACGAAATAAAACTGTCTTCTGGTCTAAAGTTTCACTGAATATTACCAAACGATTATTTCACGACTCAATCATGTTATTGTATTTGATCTTTTAGGTAGTAAGAATTGACTGTATTTTTTTTTCTTATTTTGCTATTTTTATTACCTCTGCTGAGAATTATTGCTAATACTGTTGCATCATCATCATCATCCAATAACATTTTTTTATGTGTTTCAAATGATGAGATCCAAAAAAGAAAACCAAGATATTGATTCTTTTCAAGTTTATCCTCGCTTTCAACTTTAGTACTAATTATGAACAGCAGATAATAATCCCTACAATTCAATGTATTATTTGTCTACTATCATGCTTAACTTTTTCTATCATAAAATATTTATACAATAATATAGGCTTTTTTGTGCATTTGAATTGTTTCTAACTACAGTTATTTGTATGCTGTTGTAATTCTAAGTCTTTGTTATTGCATGTTTGTGTGATATGCATGCTGTTACGGGTATGAGGGTGGTTGTCACTTCCCGGCTACCCACACCGTGGAAGGTTGTTTCTTGAGGGACCTGAAAAGGAAGATAGATTAGTGTTGGTCTTGGAGACCTGGGTGCGTGACCGCAGAGTCCAAAGGACAACTGCTTGAGGCCGGTCACGCACGGCCTTTTTATGAAAGGTATTTTGAGGATTAGCTCCGTTCTTAAAGGCCCTTAGCGGGCACCCTTACCCAAGGAGACGGAAATCCGTGAGGTAGGGGAGGTGTGACATTTTCAGGGCCGGCCTTTTCTAACCCTTGCTTCCTTGCGAGAAGGCAGCATCGTTGCAGATGCTGGTTGTCCGAGGGAAACACCTTACTGCTGTCACACCCCTCTGCAGTCAGCAGTACGACTTCGCCCTCAGACGTTGAGTAGCTGCTTTTAGTCTCATCGTTCTCCAGTCGACCAGCCTGGCATGATAGGACCTGCAGGAACATATGTTCCAGCCAATATAGCTCGGTTGGTTCATCACGATAGGCAAACCCGACCACCACGTCAAGGTAGCAGCTACGGTCGGGGATATGCATACACTGACGTAAATGTTTTCAACGGATAGCATTATGCGATAAGTATAACTCCAAGTTTACTATATTTAAAAAGGAGGAATACTATTAGATTTTAATTTAAAACTATTGTTAAATCATCAAACAATACAATAGCTTTGTTCATGAGATATTGCCCTTCATTAGATAATGATTTTATGCACTTCCTAATAAATGTTTGACTACGTCTGTTAAAATCATCTTATTAGTGTCTACTTCCATAGATTTAAAGTTTGTTTTATTCACCTGGATCAAGATAATCAGTTAGTATCTCTAGCTAGTACACTTTCTTGACCAAGTATTTTATTATATAATTAGGAAACATCGATTATAGATCTAGTCAGTGTATAGGTGCTTTGGATAGTCAGTAAATTGTGATCGTATTCAAATAAAATAAAATGAGTAGTTATTAATTTGGCCAGATTATAAATAAGTTTCTATGTCAACTCACGTGATTCACAATAATTATGTTTTATGGGGTTTTTTTCACAATATGCTTTATTAAAAAATCATAGGCATATGAACCGATGAAGTGTTAGTTTGGAAACTGTAGTTTCTAGGACTCATAGTCCACTTATGGAGTTGTTTGTTGGCAATAATGTGAATCCATTATCATAGTATTCACTTATTGGTGCATATGAGTTATGTTGGTATTTGGTTTTCATTTGTGGTTCATCAGCTCTATTAATGTGTATCCATTTTGACTGTATGATCCATGGCATGATTTTTTAGACCAATCACCTTCTAGTGTATATACAAATGTATTGAGCCCACAGGGCTTGTCCTAGCTTTCGGACAGATTAACTAACCTTTCCTGCAGAGTCGTTATTCATAAATGGAAATGGCAATAAATGATTATAAGCATATTGAAAAAAAGTTAACATGCTTTCATGATGTGCCCGTCCGGGCACTAAACCAACATGTTTGTATGAGTAATGCTGACAAAATGTTCGATTAATAAATGGTTTAGTACGAACTTGTTTTAGTAAGCTGTAATAGAGTTAAATGAATGATACTGAATAATTAGTCTCCTAGGCCCATTTCTGTGATAAACGATTCAGGATATAATAATGAGATATGGGCAAAAGAAATTGAACGAACTCACTTTAAGCATGGAAATCGTTTGCGTTATCGGATAACAGAAAATAATCCAGTGAGATGCGAATATCATGACATGAATACAATATTCGTAGTATTACAATTCAATGAGTGATATTCATAATTCCATCATAATCGTATGTCATTATGAATAGAGATAATAAATAGTTCGTTCATTATAATATAATAATAAGATGATAACGACAATCGGGTAATTCGCGAGATAGATTAATATGACGAGTTGATACACGAACGAAACAACGATGAGATAATACAATGATTTTATGTACATATAATCGCTAAACTGTGTACGCTGCGTGCGTCGGATTCGAGAGTGAGTTTCTACGTTGTCCGTCGAGTCTCATACTATGATTCCATTCGTAAAATGCTTCGAGTTTGGAAGGTTCTTACTAGACGTAGTTCTGCCGTTTGCGTCAAATTCTACATTAAGCTCACCACTTTAGTAACCCCCGTAGATACGATATACGGAAACTGAATGGAAGATTTATTCTAAGTTTACTCATTCCGCCGTCGAAACTGCAGTCAGTTCGCAGGCCATTAAATACTGGAAGAAAACCTATTTCTTGCACTAAATACAACTATTCGTATGAATATGTTCCATTCTTTTGTAGGTGACTTTTATCTACTTAATATTATTTCGTAACCGAGATTGAGTTATTAAGTGTATTCCATTTGGTAGAGATTACATTGTCTATTACTTTTTAAAGCATCAATCTAACCTCATTAAAATTCCTATTACCTTTATACTGTTATAATAAATGTGTAATATTGGTTTCGGCATTTCAACAAACAGATATGACATGGACGCTAAGCAATCGAGAAAGATGATTTGCCTTTTAAAAATCACTAAGATTTTTTTCCATCCTTAAATACAGCACCTTCAAATATATATTTCAAAACGCCTAATAGGGCATTAGCGTGATAACAAGTTTTCAGGTAATTACCATTTCCCCCTCAAATGGTAATATACTATCAGCTAAACTTGATTTGTCTGTCCTAAATAGGTACTTACTTTCGAAATGTCTCTGTTTAGGACAGAACAACTGTTCGGTGTTCTATGATTTTCATTACTTGTTCAGTAAACTGTCCAAATGACTGACTCCTTTAAAAATTACTTTATCAAGACCGTTATCTTAAGAATGGTAATTATTAATATCAAAAAACCAGTGTCCCTCGGCTTCCATTATAACTGAATGTTCGGTAATTGTTTAGTAGTTTCCAACAAAATATTTTACATTTAGTCAACAAGTTACTTGTTAGTAACTACAGTAATTATATAAAAATGTATGGCAATACTCTGGCCAAGAAACTGTTTTTCGGCAATATATAGGAAAATAATGGCCTGTTATAATATCTGGACTACCACCTAGATATTTACAAGTTATATGTTTCCTTCGCTTTAACATACCTATTATGTCTTTTAATTGCACAACCTTTTCGGGCGTATATAGTAAAAGTTTGCAACCTATCACTTTACAAGTTACGAAAAAGTACAATCGGAAACATCGTGATATCTGGTAGTATTTGTTGAAAAGAATGAATGTTCAACAGATTCCTGTCCATGAGCTGCTAACTTCCAACTGTCGATCACTAATTGTCAAGATGAACTATCTTCAATCAACTATGGTAAAAGTTTAATGGACTGACGACCTTGAGCGACCAATGAGGAAATAATACCTAGCTATAAAACAATCAATAACTAAAAGCAATAAAATATTGATGGAATTAATTGCTTTATCCTAAATAATCAAACACCATAATTCGAATCATTCTTCATTGTGAAATAAAAAATGAAACTTGTGTATTAATAGTTGGGTTATCACCCCACAGAGTTTTCGTCACCGTTTGAGGCCAACAGTTATGCAAAAAGGTTATAATTAGGTGCTAAAACTTGGACTGGAGTCCAGATTTTGACTTTTCAAATCAGAGTTTTCATCACAAAAAGACATCAGCTATGATGCAGTGCTATATCATTTGAATGTTAACAAACTTAAGGGACTTATAATTGATATTTAGAATAAGAGTTAGAAAGGTTTGAAATTATCAAGTTTCACTAAGCACATGACAACGTAGTGAATCACGACAAAAAGACTTCAACACAACTGAGAGCAATTATGTTTTGTACTTTAGCTTAAGAACCATCTTAACTTCGCTCTCCAGTTTCATTACAAGAATTTTACTTATTTCAAGCATTTTAGAGACCATAGAATACCAATTTGTGCTTTGATAATAATGGTATACAGGTTATCGATTGCTTCACTTTAAACTTCGCGGAAAATGCATGAGGCGTAACCATTGGCTCTCTCAAGCCCGTTAGTACTACTAAATCTAAAGATATGTCGTATTTGTCGAGTAATCACAATTCAGCAATCCTACTTGAATAATTTACACAACGATTGTTTAGTATCACTACGTGGTTTCAACATTTATAGTCAAGCAACGAAACAAGACCCCATCCAAAACAATTGAAAAAGCACAATTATGTAAACGTTACTAACATATACGTAACTTCAGACTGCTCCTCATCTGCACTATCTGTTTTCGGTAATGAATTCGCTGTTACTATTATCAGTGGTTCTCTTTCAATTAAATGTAGTGATTCCATTCCATGTGATTGCGAATTTTTTTCATAGCTAAACACCAAAATCTAGTGGATATTCCTGCTCGTTCGGACGCACACCTAAACTTCCTGTTTCTTAATGATGTGGGGATATATTTGACTCGTAAATGTGCTCCATTTATCAATTTTGATCATTGTATTATTCGTGTTCTACCTAAAGTTTATAGCATGCTTGTAAAGAGTGCACACTTACATCAGATAATAAGAGTTAAATACAAGAAATGCTCAGAGGAAAATACTCAAGAACTGAAAAACATGGTTCATACGATAAACTGAGATTTATTTGCAAGTGGTTCATTGGAAAACACGTCAAATTTTGCCACTAGTTGTCATAAATTCTCCTTTAAATTTTTATTGTCCCAAACTCCTTACAAATTCTATCTTATCAAATAATAACTATTCACTCCATTCACATATTTCTGATAGAAGGAGACACCGATACATTAGAATTCATGCACACAAGCAAAAGTATAAAAGCTCAACAATACCTTATCTAGCAAACATACTTTGCTATGAACAGCTTGTAAAAGCTTGTCTATTCAAAAACTTTTATTCCTAAACATATTTTATAAATTCTAATGTTCTTAAAAACAGTTCATTTAAACTTCAGATAGTTTATTTACTTATTTCATATATATATATATATAGAGGTCTGTAGTTATCGATTATACTTTTTATCTGTGTAAAAAAAAACTTGTTGAACTACTTTTTATTTGGAATTCCATATTGTACTAAACATATTGAATAAACACATCAATGAGAATAATAATTATTATCATGATAGAAATAGTAATACTGAATTAAAAACATCAGCAATAATGTTCAAAACAAAGTTCATCAGAAAGTAAATTTTAAAAACAAAAGAAATTTTTTTGTCACAATTCTTTTATATTCAATGTTGCAAGTGATTCAATCCATAAATAATGCTTTAAGTAATCTATTGACATTGTTTTATTCATTGACAGATATAAATTTATTGTTTTCTCTTTTTCATACACTAAATGAAAACCATTTGTTGAAAACCAATACTCTATATTAAGTCTAGGATCAATTTCTAAATTCACAAATAATTCTGGTGAATTTGATTCAATCACAAGTTCATAAATATGATTAGTTAAAAATGGTGCCATTTGTTGTAGTGTTCGTAGATTATTCTTCGTTTTTGTTATTAGTAAAGGCTTTATTGATTTTAGGCGTAAACTTTCTCCAGCTTTTTTAGGCCAGTTTTCAATTTGTTTTGGTCTATCTAACAGTAGAAGATTTCCATCAGATTTGATGTCTTCGGCATTGTTTCGTATAATTATTTGAATCATTCTACCATTTCTATCATCGAAATGACATAATTTGTTTAAATCTCGAAGAGATATATTTAATATTCTTATTGGACATTGAGTCGAGTTTTGAATAGGAATTTTTAAAACTTCTTGATAGGTTGGATCAAATGACCAAATTGTATAACAAACTAATTCAAATTCAGTAGGAAATAAACTATGATTTTTATTTTGTACATTTGGTATCCAATCAGCTTCAATTATGTCATTATTATTCTTATGTATTGCTATACGTCCCCATTTCGGTATATCATAATATTCTTTTATAGCTGCATAATGAGATAATTTCCATTGTCCAACTGAATCTATAGTTGACCAACTAGGTGCTGACCAAATATCATTTAATTGCCAATATATTGTACCCATTGTAATGAATTTATCAGTGAATACAACTGTAGATGTTGATATGCTCAGTCGACATTTATGTCTCATATACAAGTTGATTTGAGTACGTAAACACATGAGCTGATTTAATTGACTAATATATGCCCATCTGAAAAAACAATTATCTCATTACTAATTAAATGTTTATTTTGGCTATTAGTTAAGTGTGGTTACTCACTCCCTACTAAATATAACTTCAAATTCACTGTGATGAAACTTGTTTTAATATTTAAGCAAATATTCAATAATTAATAGACCTTGCATGAATTATAAATCCGATCTTTCGAAAACATCATAGGTGTACTTGGAAGTCTCAAATACGAATATAATAAATTCCTAATAATACGCTCCTATCTACAGATAATCGTTAATTGATCAATTTATAGTTTGTTTGTTTGATTTAATTAAATATTCAAAATGTTTTCAATCATGATAGCTGTATGTAATGTCAGTTAATGCATGACAATTTACTTTTAAGCTGCTAATCATCTTTAATACAAGTTTTATACGGAATAGTAAATAATGAAACGCTTCCTCCAGTAACCTTAAATTCTAAAATATTTTTGTAGAATTTGGATTCTCTGAACTGATTTGTTGAATAATAATGCTTTCATAATCGTGATAACAGCAAAACTTCAGAAAAATTTTGCCAAACTGCAAATAAACTATTCAATTTTATAGAATACAATATAAAAACCTGTTCATATTCTTTACTGTTAAAAAGTTCGGTGTGTTACCATTACATAATTAAATAATCATTTGGAAATTTAGAAAAATATGCTTTCTTATGTAATTCGTAAAATACGAAACAATCAATATTATCTTACACTACTTACTAGTTACTACCTGTTTGATATCATAATTTTGCATTTTTCGAAATGGAAATAATCTTAAAACCCAAAAATCTGATTTTCAGTTCAACGTGTCAATATACATTAAACTACATTATGTTAATTGGTTACAGAATTATTTGAACTCGATTTAAGTATAATCAGTCAAATGACAGCGAAAACCCTTGCATCTACTCCGAACTTTTTTACCATCCAAGGATATGGTTGAAAGTGTTTATATATATATATATATATATATATATATATATATATCACTAATGTATGTACTGATCGACTTGATAATATCTACCACACATGTTACGCATAATTACACTTACACATTTGAACAAACTCATTGTAAAACACAAATTAATTTAACATTCAACTTACCGACTGTAATTACGAATTGGATCTTGTCTCATTTCCGGTTCGATAATATACTGAAGTGCTAATCTAAGCATTTGATGACCTAATTGATGATGTTGTCTATGATCCATCAGTGAACCGAATACATCCCATTGTTTTGGATTCGATATATTTGAAATTGATCTGGCCCATGCTAATGAAGATGGAATAGATTGTATGCCGAATTCCGATATAAATCGTCCTAGTACGAAATTAGATTCTGACCATAAATCACCGGAATATTTGTAATAATGTATATCACCATATAGGGGATTCTGAAGAATAAAAATTTGCAAATTCATCTACATTTATTCACAAATCACCACAATACTGGAGGTCCCGGTTTCGAATCCTGCGAGGTGCAGGAGTCGTGGATGCGCACTTCTGATGAGTCCCATACCGGGACGAAATGGCTGTCCAGTGCTTCCAGGTTTCTAATGGTGGTCTAACAATGATTGACTGGTGATTTCAAATGTGTAAAAACACAAACCTCCAAAATTCTGCCCGAAAATATATAATACACCAACTCATCAATCAAGTAAAGCGATTTCAACAGCAAAAGTATTCAACATGACATAATCATATATATATAGACTGGTCATTATGAACCAAATGCACAAGATCGATTCCGCATCACTTCTATTAGTGAAAATTAAACTGAGTATAATAAAATACATAACAATTGATTGATTATGAAATGATCAAACTACTTTAAGTTATCCTTGTAATGAGAGTCCATGAAGAGATGATAAGTTAAATAAGGACAAAAGTTTCTGACTCATAAATCTACTTAATTCGAATACAAATAACATGACTGTCAATTTAATTTTACGAGTCCGACATAAAGACTGCCGATTAAATGTTTTCACAAGTAATTGGAATGGGTATTTGATTTCATTCACAATTTGACTGGTCACATATAGTATGGCTTTCTATCATAACTATCTCGCAAAATTTGCCAGAATGCATGAGATTCGAACTCACTGAAGCGATTCGTGCAGATTTTATCATGCTGAACATAATTTTCATTATTAATATAAAGTGAAGAGACAATGAAAATGAATTGATTTTCCATAATTCTGACCTCAATCAATCAGTTATCTACACCTGATTGTATATAGAAAGAACAGTTGATTTTGATGGGCTGATTCGACTAGCGTACATCTTCCTAGCGATATCATCACTCGAAATGGAAATTTACTTAGCTTCCGATGAGTATACCGGAGCATCTAATATCGAGGCTTCATTCATCTTAGAGAAATCTGAAGGAATCTCTTTCAAAATTACTTACTTTGTATCCTCTTCTACTTTCACAATATTTGCGGAGTCGAAAGATATTTTAGTGAACAGTAATATACTTGGATTAAGGACCATCTTTAATTAACTCAGTTTGTTAAAGTTGACTGATGCAGTAACCATCTTATAACTTTATTAATATAAAAGTACGTTACGCTTTAAAGATAAAACTAGAATTATTAGATTGATATGTTGTATGTGAATATAAGTGAACACTGTAACTGATTTATAAATTCGTTTCAAATCTAACCATTGACGAAGAGTTCGGTGATACGTGAATGAGCACAACCAATTATATAATACTTAAAATTAATTATTCCATAAGTCTTTACCATCAGTGGTTGAGGTACATGGATGTGGTGATACTCTTGTGGGAAAATATTTTCCAACTACAACTCGAAACTGATCGTCCATTAGTCCAAATCAAATCTGATTATTATTACATCTCTAAACGATTTTGTCAATATACCAAATGCCAGTAATAATTTCTAAGGTGAACGGATTTATACTGTTGATACATCGACCTATTTTATTGTAGTTGGCTATCTGTGCACAAATCTGATATTTTTCATTGTCACGGGTCCCACAACACAAACTGATATCGTCAAATTAAATATTGTAAGTTCAATTAGGCTAAATTTTGTTTCTTAACTAAATTCATAAAACTACCTACATCTGGATCAGGATCCAAACCTTTAAGTTTCTCTGTTCTATATCCATTACCAGGTGAAGAGATAAGACATGTTCTAGGTTTATATTTTGAAACTGTCCAACGTCTAGCTGAACTTTGACCATTCTCTTCGTCATTGATCACATTGAACATTGAATCGACAAATCTAGTTTTGAATATACTCAATAATGTGAAATCCATTGGTGGACCATACCAACCATTTGCAATAGCTTGTTTCACTTCATTATCTGTAGACCAAACTATAATAGATGGATGATAGTGTAATCGTGATATTTGTCTTCTGATTTCTTTTTCAACGGTATCATTTCTAATGGAAAAAAAGTTATATGGAAAAGCTATGTATATTTTTATTCAACCGAACAGTTACTCTCTTAAAACAACATTTGAACAGGTATACACCTTCATGTTTATGTCAAAGTTAAACAGATATTTCTTACAGACCAATGATTGAAATATTCATTGAATTTTATCGAATTCAGTTAGAATTATTTCTGAAAAATACTAATAATAGTCCACATCTTCTTTTTTTCCGATTTCTTTGAATAGAACCATCAGAAAAACATTTTATAAAGTACTTCCTAAACAATAATAAGATTAAAGAATGTTGAGAGAGACAACTTTGTGATTATTAAATTTTTATATTCCAAAGCTTTTATTACAATCAAACATATTTTAAATCAAGGATTTTGTTTTAATGTGTACCACTTTAAAAACTGTTTCATCATAACCGTAGCATTTACTAAAGGGCTAAAATAAATTCAGACTTATTATTATTATTATTAAAGTCTTTAACATACACTTCAGGTACTTGTCCACCTCCAAAATCATTGAATTCCAAACTAAAATATAAAGAAATGAAATTGCGTGGCATTTAATCTTATCAACCTTTGATTTGAATTAACAAATAATCTACAATCTGTTTCAATAGTAGTATTCCTCTATTCATTCAACCAAATGATATCGATATCATAATTTTAGAAATAATAAAATATCTATCGGCATTTCATGTCTTTGTTTTATGATATGATAACTTAGGCTGACATCTTATTGTCTATTTTTAATGAGTGGAAAGAAATGTAAACAAAAAAAAGCATCAAATAGTCCTTTATCTTAATCTGACTCCACCAATTAGTTATCATTCAGTATTGCTTAACAATAATCAATAACTCGATTACTTTTGATCTATTCTTCATTAGACAGTGTGAAATCAAGAATTGATAGTTACGATGTTATGGAATAGTGTATGTTCCATGCACTGGAAAGGCCAAGCAAAACAAAACAGCTACACAAAATTCTAAATACCGGAATTACTGAGTATGCGATTCGCAGACAAGTTCTTCTTCACTATTCTAACTATATATTGAAAAGTATATCAAATGAGGCTACCATATCTTTTAGTTTTAAGCGTAAATAATTTCGGTTGAATAATTTTTTGTCTATTGTATTCGATTAGTCGACCGATTAGTTTAGGCTGACTGTTGATAGCTGAAATAAGTTTAGTCGAATACATAATTCACTGTAGCTTTCATTGCTATATAAAATGTATGAAAAATTGATTTTCTAGTATTTTCTTTAACTTAAGGATACGCTGCATTATTAAAAGGAAAATGTCAATGAAATGCTGTATCCATCGATAAGAATTATATTTCAGTGTGTTAATGACTCTATGTAGTGCACTAAAATTGATTAGTTCTATACTAGTCTGATTTTCAGTACTAACGGAATTTCGTTAATCATTATTAACATGTGAACAGATAGTTAAGTGACACAATGTCCTAATCCAGTGTATCTAATAAAATACAATCAGTATGTCTTGTGTTAGTAATTCTCTTTAACAGATTTGAATCTTTGTTATATAATGGTAAATTTGTTTTGGTTGCCAATGTGCAATTTAAGTCACTTTGTAAAATTTAGTTTAGGTTATTGACTTTTTCAGCATGACAGGACACTGATGAACTTATTCGACAGAAATTTGATGTTTTAATTCTTCTGTTTTTTTATTTTATTTAATCACTGACGAAAATAAAAGTATACACTCTGTAAAATTCAATTTCTGTCCCATAAAAATATTATTTTCTTCCCAAAAAGGACGTGATTCACTGATATGCTTTTTGGACTATATCCACCTTGAAGTGACTCAATGATGAAGATGTAAAATATCATCTTGAATACATTTCAACTACCGTAAATCATTAAGACACAATTTTAAAATGATAAAAAGTTTTAATAATGCGAACATTTAAAAGAAAGTAGCTTTTAATTAAAAATGATAAATGCATATCCATAACAAAAATATGTCGGATAAACTTGTATAGTTCAAAATCTAATAGATATAGAAATGATCTTAGCTAAACAACTGTTGATACGAAAGAGCACTAAACAGATTTTTTGTATTAGTATTGAACATCTCTGCAGTGAGCATCCACATCGAACCTTCGATCTTTGGGTCTCGCAGCGACAGTCTAACCTCTAGACCACTGACTCAGCATTCAGTGGTATGTGTCCACTTTCGATGAATTAGGGATATTACGCAACTATTTTTCGTTGCCTGTATGGAATTACAGTCTGATACCCATTATGGTTGAGTTCCTTTAGCCATGGTTTCTCACTAGGAATCTGGGAATCATCTTTAGAAATCAGTCACTAGTATGAGCATATATTTTATGGGGATCGAGTTTTATGGAAATTATTAAATATTCCTAGGTCACTTTGTGACAATCATTGAAAACTAGGAAATCAGTAATTTAATAGTTATTTCAATTATTCATAAATTTAATTCTATTTAATCACTTCTCTTTATCTGGATAAGTAGCAACTGCAAACATCATATCATGCCATATCATTAAACCAAGTCGATCGGTTTCTTTATAAAATTCATCATCTTCATAACGTCCACCACCCCATATTCTAATTAAATTAATTCCTGCAAGACTTGCTGAACGAAGAAGTCGTTTTTCCAACCAAATATGATCATTTGTTGTATTATGCATTAATCCATACTGTTTACCAGGCATATATGTTGCAGGTATCCAATTAACACCTTTAATGAATATTGGTAAACCATTAATTTTAAAATAAAATGTTCGACCTAATCCAATTTGTGATGAATTCACATAATCCTAAAATTTTATGCGATAAAATGTAAATGAAATAGATTTTATTTTGTATGTAATCGCAATTGCCATATTTTTAAACAATACAAAGAGAAAAAAACATTTACATTGTCAAATAGACAGTTCACAAACCATGATGTGAAATTACCACATTAAAATATCATAACAATAAAGAAAACAACCACAGACTTCACTTAGTTGCTATGTAGAATATAAAGTGAACAAATTAGCCATAAGTACTTGATAAAAAAGAAACTCTACAACTGATTTTCACAAAAGTTCACGGATCACAGTAATCGCAAGGCCGCAAATAGCGAGACTGAAGCACGAAAGTTGAGTTCATCATTTTTAGTTTGAATGTAATGGATTAAAATCGGTTGTTTTCGGTAAACCGTATTAATACAAACTAACCAGTAGTTAAGGGTTTTTAAAAAAACATTTAATTTTCAATTCCTGTAAGCACTAACACCCAATAGTTTGTAAACATTTCCATTTTTTTTTGACCTTACGAAATACACAAATTGTCACTTCTATAAATATTGTCATGAATCAAATCACGAAATAATCTAAGCTAAACCACGAGTTCATGAACAAAATATAGTTCTCAAAAACGCCTTTCATTGCATAAATAAATGTTTTTTTCATCAACAAATTTAAATCTATGAACATTCCTATACTGTGTAATTATTCGCTCTACAAATAGTGAATTTATTAATTCAACACGAGTTAACTAAACATTAAAACTGTAACAGTTTAATTATTCTATCAATCTAAAATTCACGCTCAAGGATTGTACATAGATGAAGAAACAATTTAATACGGTCATTGTAATTGTAACCTAAAAAATCCTTCAATTCTAGATATACGTCTGCGTAAAAGTATGAATTTGCTGCTGCTGACCTATTTAAGTATTATTTGTTGACTACCATACACTCTTTTAATCTATGTGACTTTAACTACTTGTGAGTAGCTAAACATTATTTATGCAAATATTCACTACCCATTAAGGACAAATTTTCAATACTTTACTTCATACTGTTTCAAAGCTTATCTATTGAAAGAATTTTTGTTAGCTATTTTGTAACTGTTTGCTAATATGTAAGCAAATCACTCTACTTATTATCTCAAGGAAATGATTATTATGTAGAAATTGTCTACTAGTTCAACATTTATCTGTACATCGATAAAGACTATATGTATCACCCTAAATGTGTGAACTATGCTTTTCTAAGATCAGATTAGTTAATGACTCTTAATAAAAATAATATCAAAGAGCTCTTACTGAAAGCCTATTGATGAGCGCTGTTACATTTTCAGTTATTTATGGCATAGTATCTTGTAGTTCCTCGTTTGTATTAATATTTATTTATTTAATAAATGAACTCGCGCGGATTTAAAACCACACACATGTGTGTTGTTTATATATATATACATACTGGAAAACTATCGTTTTCTAATGTGTACCAAACAGCATGAAAAATACTCTTGAAATTTCCTACTGACCTCCCCACCCCTAACTATTAGACATCGAAAAATTCGCAACACCACCCAAGCCACTTACCTCCGTGACTAAATCGTAAACATTATTGATCAAGTTCTATCACTATTAAAGCTTGTACAAAATGAGACTGTTTACTGATCGATATTCGGTTAATGAAATTAGAAACAGAGAATATGTGTAATTCATAAGTATTCGTTCATAAAATTTCTGAAAGCCGTGCTCTATCATTCATTTAGGGTAAAAAATAATTCATTAGATTTCGTTAATTATTAGTATTTACATCTAATTTGTTTTACTACTCTATTTAATTTAATAAATGACACTACGTCTTTATATCATACTGTTCTGTTATTCTACCTGTTCACTTGTCTCTATCCTTCTGATTATTTCTTCTTGTATGTGGGTTTCAAACAGATAACTTGGTTTTAAGTTCGTATTACTGGTTGATCTTAGTTACACAACCATTATGAATCAGAAAGCATTAGAAAGTTGTTTCGTCTCATTAAGGTTCTCCTCAGCAGTGTATTAGAACTCAGGAGTTTTGAGAATCTCACCAACTGCTTGACTATTAAAATATTGAAAAAATATCCAAAACTAAAAAGAAACACATGGACGATCATTCCTGGTTTTCAACGGTTACCTAACTAAAGTCTTGCTTTTTATAGATTGGTTTATTTCTATTGTTGATTTTTCGTTGTCTGTATGAACAATAAATCGTTTTTATCTAAAATTAATACAAATTTGTACCAGGAGTTAGATTGATTTCGTTAATTCCATGTGGTTTCCCATTCCTGATGGTTTTCAGCAACAATGAGTTTTGTAATTAACATAAATGAGGTAAATTATCAAATTAAGTTCTCAGTTCAGAGGAAAAATTGAAGTTTTGTTGAAAACAAGTATTGTTTGTCAGAAATTCTCATAATGTTAATTTTAAGTAACAAACTTGCATCAACCACTTGTGAACATCTAAAGAAATATGCTAACTATTATAAGAGTTAACCGGTACTATTTGTTGACAATAAACAGTCTACGAAAAATATTGATCACAGCCTAACTAGCTTTTCATGTAGTTGAAATTACAACTTGATCTTAGCAAGGCCATCATTAAAAGCCTGAATGCTCTGGATAGCCGTTTCGTTTTAGTATGAGACTCATCAGAAGTATGGGTCCACATCCTCCCCATAGGGAATCAATCGCAGAACTTTCATTTCCGCACGAACGTTCAATTTCTAGACCACTGAATTGGTACCCAACGGTGTTAATGTCTCACTTTAATTAATCCATGATTTCGTGCAACCTTCATCCATTGCCTGTGGCTGATAACTCTCTCCTACCAGACACGAACTGAACTCAACTGGTCACTTCTTCACACTAGAACTCCAGGAGTTCATCGTTAAGCCAGTCATTAGTGGTCGCATGATTGTTTGTGATTTCAATTAAATGAAAATAATATAATCTTCGCAAAGCCTCTTCATTAAACTAACTTTGATCAATCAATTCAGTCTTCATACTCAAATTGTAAATTAAAACAAACCTGAATTAACTCCAACTCACGAAATCCTATTGAATATTCCTTTTTGTCAGCAATCTGATGGAAACCAACAGTTAAATAGAGTACTAACTTATAAAGATACGGTCCAGTCTCAGTACCAGCAGGCCACCACAATTTAACATTTGACTGATTACGCAACACCTCCATAGTAATCACTTCACTTTCCATTCCAAAACACTTTTTTCCAAATACATTTAATTCCTCAATATATGAATAAATACATGCTTTCGATTGCCGGTCATACGACAGTATATCTCCTACAAGCTCTACATCAATTTCTGCACTCCATAGTTTAAATTGATTTTGTTGTGAATAGGCGTAGAATTTAAATCTTTCACCGAATCTCAAGCTTAAAGGTGAAATCACCAATTGAGGTAATGTCCATAATCCTTCAATCGGTAAAGCTAACCCCCAATCCCAACCAAATGTTGATTGTGTTGTCCTAACCAGATTTACATGACATTCTCCATGAAATCTAGATGGCCAACAAAATGGTGGTGGAATAGATGTTTTTTTGACTTTCATCAGTTCTGCCTTTTTCTTCGCCATCAATACAGTTGATGTACATTTTAATTCTAGTTTGTTTCTTTGCTTTGAGCTTAATAAATGATTGATTTTCCATGTATATGATAAAAAACTATTCTCTGTAACTCCTAGGAAGTGATCATTTAAAATTATATCACAAAATGTATCTATGCCATCCAAATATAATTCTATGATGCTGTTGTTGAAATAAAGCTGTTCAATTGTGAAAATCTTAGTAAATGTCCAATTATCATATGCTATCCACCTTAATTTCACATCATTGTCATCAATTAAAGGATTATTAGTATTTTCAGTTATCCATTGTGCACTATAACTATCTAAGCCAAATCGTACATAAATTTGTCTTGACGAAGTTTGATTTGAAATTGTCCAATCCCCAATTAAAGGTATCCATTTTGTTTCTGTATTTTGAATTGACAAAACTGTTGAAATATCGAATAAACAAAAGAGTATTGACAATAAATACTGAATGGAAGTAGACATAATTTGTTGTTAGAAAGATATTTGATCATTAGAATGTATGAATTGAATAATTATTCATAACTGTTTCAAGTAAATTTATGTAAAGTATAAAGTACACATTTAAATATGTTTAAAATAATAATTAAAACTAATTGTTCGAATTGATTTTTTGTCATATTTAATAGTTTACTAATTTGAAGCAATGTGGTTGGTTAAAACAAGGTCATCTGATTTCGTTCTAGGATGGGTTAATTATTCATTGATCAATATTTAATCAAATACAGAACATGATTACGTAGATTATAATGTTGTATATTTGACATATAAAGGATAAAAGGTGATAGTTTGATTAAAATTTTTAACTGATTGTAATTATTGTAAGTAATGAACTTTATTGTCTGGAAAAAAGTCTAAAATTTGATTTAATCACATTATCGAAAATCGATATGAAATCTGAAAGTTTCTATGAGAAACAAAATTGTTTAAGATTGATTAATTGAAGACTCAACATCTGTGTACATTCATGATCTCTATATGTTAGTGATTTAGAAGTGAACTTATTTGATTTCAACCAAGTGAAATAATGCAACTCGTACTCGGAATAAAACATTGTCGTTGTGAATTGATTTCTGTATGAAGTTGTGGACACATGAGACTATTAAAGAGTGATCGAGTAGAACGAGTTAACTAACTATTGAATGCCCTCCAGTGCATGACCATTCTGCAACAGATGTTAATTTACCACTAGAAATATCTTCAAACTATGATAAAAACCTCCTTACTAATTGATAATGCTAACTCTATTCATTGATTTCATTGATACTTTAATATTCAGTTGTTAATTTTACAACTAAATATAACTATTACAAATATGAAATTGTTTAATAGTTTATATATAAATTTTAAACAACCAAAAATATGAATTATCTAGTAACTAATTGACAACTAATAACATAATGCCAGAATGCATGTAACTGAATAACGGTCACTAAATATGATTGAATATGTAAACTGCTTATCAATACAAACTGAACATTCAAAACATGACCTTAACTATAAAAATAAAACAAGTAACAACTTAAATACGGTAAATATTCGGTAACATAGCAAAATGACTGAAAACAAAACTGATCTGTCAATGTTTTAACTCAAAGTGTGAATAATGATTGCGGCTTCTGATAAGACTGTTTACTATGATTGAGTAATAACTGCTAACTCTACAATAGAATGAACCTCGTTTAATGACTGACATAAAGAACAAAACGTGACTATAGAAATAGATTGATTTACTCACTAACCACTGGTTACTACAATATTTCCGACAATAATAATAGTATTTTAAATTTCCAGTCAATAAATAATTTTGAACAAAATAAATTGACAGTGAATATTATGATCTATAATGTGTGTGTGTGTGTAATTTGCAAAATCAATAAATCAGTTGACTAGAATGGGAAATATAATTCATCCTTGAATTATGTATATTTGTTTCCTACTTAATTAATGTATGAGGTTTATAGGAGTCAATTGTGTTTTTTTGTATTTCTTGTCATGAAACAATATCGACTGATAAAATTATGAAGAGCAACATGAGAGCAGTGATAGGTTGTTCTGTTTTACTTCAAGGATTTCTTTGCTGAATCATGCTTATAAAAAAAATATTCAAATTATTAAAGTATTTTAGGCTAAACAGGAATCAATAATAGCTTTCAAGTAATCAATGGTGTGTTTATATCTTGGATAATTTGGTGAAAATCAATAAAAGATCCTTTAATTTAGTTTTGTGCCTATTAATAGTCATTAAAATTAATGCCTAATCAGATAAGATCACTAACATCAGTGTGTAGTGAAACGCTTCTACGAAGAAAATACGATTTGTTGAAAATAAACATTATTGTACTCGTTTTGTTTAACTGTACAAAAAACACTCCTTGCGCGCAACGTTCTCTTTGCGTTGCTGCCATTTTTCTAAACGCGCTGCTCCCCATGTAATGCCTAATTTCTCCTTCAATAAAATATTGAAACATGGATTTATTTTGATATTTGTGACGGGATAGTATGGAACATGTAGTGGTGATCATAGTCAGTCTGGTATCCCTGACCACTAAAATTATATGGTGTAAGTAAAGATGTGACCAGTAAACTAATTCAATTGTAAATAATCTCTTCCACAATGGAATGAAATATATCAGTGAGTCATTCGAGAGGATATAGTGGCGTGCTATTCAGCCGTTATTGTAGATGGAATTGTGTCAAATGTGTTTACAAAGTATGCGTTTGGTTATGACTTAACTTGCATGAATAAGATTGCTTTCTACATGAAAAACAGACAAAGCTTCTGGCTAAATTGCCCCACGCCGAATGACACAACTAACTTCAAACTTAATCCAACCATCTACAGATATCTGGGACTATTTGATCATGTGGAGGAAACACTAGAGAAAAAACGAACAACTTTACATAAATCATGGCTAAGACTCACTGAACACCATGATATTGGTTACTGCATACTGGTTGAATAGTGTTTACCAGCAATTTAATATCAATGTAACATCATCAACTAATAGATTATTAGATGTAGTAATGCAAAAATGCAATGAAAATTTTAATAATTCTATGTTAATAAATAACATAATGTCCCTGAGCTAGTTCTCCTACCAAAACCATATCATACTAACAATATAGGTACTAAAATAACCAGACATTTATGTATCGTCCTGCAATATTCAAGCAAATTAAATTCAAACACACATACACACACACAGATATAGAATGGTTAGTAGAACCTTTTTCAGTGATGAACTGGTATATTTCATTATATACAATTGATTAACTAACTGTCAACTGGTTAATTACATTAGATTTACGTAGCTTCTAGTTTGTTTATAAAATAATCAACCATTTTTGCACATTCACATTATAACTGTGTGCGCACAGTTTTACACCATTTCCTAGTCTGGTTGCTAAGACAAGAAATAATTATTTGTTGATATTTATTGCCTTACTACTTACTCTCGATATGATGAGTACCATTTACTTATCATCAGTTCATCATTATCTCTTTTTAAGTGAATGATTAAAGATAAAGTTTGTTTTATTTTTTTCTTGGGACAAAATTCTCTTTTTCTTTTTAAACATAAAATAAAGATAGAACAACACAGATTATAACATTGTAAATTATATTCCATAGGAAAGAAAAGGGGAAAATTAATAACAGGTAGACATTTTTAAAGTATTCAGTTAAAACAAACAACAGCAATAATAATCATCTAAATAAAATTAAGAAACCTCACATAAAAACATACTTCGACAGGTGTTAAACTAAGTAATCAACTAATATAGAAAAAGCCTAATCTTATCAAAACTCTTCATAAAACTCTACTACAATTAGTAGCTATGGTAATATTATTATTATTATTATGATTATGATTACTCTTATTATTATTATCACTACACATCTTCAGTGCATAAAATCAATTCACATGTATCCATGTCCATCGGTATGAATGTATATATATTTTATTTATACAAATGACTTTATCATTAACAGGTAAGTACCTATCATCATTATTTATATTTATTAGCAAGGTGAACAACATTTCATACTGAATGGGATTCATATTTGAAGAAAAGCACACACACGAAAAAATGGGGCAAGCATCAAATGTATCATACACCTTTCGTCTTATTGGACTTAGTTGAGATGTGAATGAAAATTAAAGAAAAATATATATAGATATATATATATATATTTAGCTAATCATATTTTATTCAATTGATTTAAACAAATTAGCACAGGTGAAGAGAGATACATGTCAGGTCATTAAGTCAAAATAATGATGACTTCTATCAAAATAATAAAATTTAAACAAAAATGAGTCATAAGTGCATGTGTGTGTGTGTGTTGTGAATCAATGCGTTTTATAAACACATGACTAATGAATAATTATCAATAATGCTTTCTATATAATAAACTATGAAGGAAAAATAACAGAATGTGTCAAACTAATTATATTTCAATATGATTTTATTTGATTGTAAATATTATTCATCGAAAGCAGATTCAATTGGCCATTTGTTTTGTTGATTCGATTAATCTTAATTAATTTCTGGCAGATAATATGGTTTTATTAAATATAATAATTTCTTTTTTTTGTTAAGTATAATACTACGTCTTCACAACTTTTCATTTGACCTTGTAAATGAGGCATCAAAATAATGAATGAATGAACACGGTTTAGTCATACATACTTTATTTTCGGTAAGTAGTGAATAAGTATGCATAGGTATAATTCTTATTTAAAAGTTCATAACTCATAATAGCAAATACAAAGTACACATACTGGAATTCCACAATAAGTATTCATGAATTATAAAAATACACTACCATGTACAAAAATTTAATTATCATGACTTATCTAGTTAAATAGTTTTGTGTTGAACATGTTAACTACAAAAGAAAAAAAACAGCCTTTTACATCAGTTTGTAATGAGAATGACCTTTAAATAATGTTCAATAAATTGAAAATTATTGAGTGTTAGTTAGAATCTATTTCTTTTTAGGCTACCACAATGCAACTTAATATGAGTGAATCTGAGTCACCCTATTGATTTCGGTTCTGAATTATGAAAATAGTTAACCTTAGTTGGAATCAGTTCGATCTACCCATAGAATACGAAGTACTTTCATACTATTTATGTCAGTCGGTATTTATTCTCAAATAATCAAGTAGTATTCACTAAATGTGTATCATGTTAATTCAAAGTCATCGTTAGTCATCAATTAAGGGTGAATATACAAGAAAGTATAAAGTATAAAGTATGATTCGTAATCAGTAGATACCTAGTTCAGGAAAGCTTTTAAACGATCTTTTTGCAACGTTGAAAGCGGTTAACATGAGCAAATATACCATGCAGTAATTTATTAGATTGTTAGTTTATGTAGTAAAATCGGTTGGCATTGTAAAGTGTATTCATACATTTAGTTATTGATTGATTTATGTCAACTACTCTTTAATTCGATCTATTCAGAATAACTTGTTAATCAGATAAATAAATCATATATCATA